GATGCATTTAATTCCATGTGTCATCAATGAGATTCACAATATGGTAGCAGCCAATTGAAACGGAAGCCCACAATCTGACCGCATTTTCTCCTTAGGCACATCGCATTTATTTTTTGTCGTGTGTCAGCGCAGGCTATTGTCGCATTTCGTATCTGCACCAGTATTTCTGTAAACTTTACACTGTCTGTGGCTCCATCAGTACCTTTTGCACATAGTGACAGGGTTTCGATGCAACTGGAGCAGTATTATAGCTCGACCAAGGTGGCGTGATCCATCACACGTCATTAGTCATACATTTATGGTGAATCTCCTCATGTCCCACTTCTCTAGGTCATGGAAATCGGGCCACTCTACATATCAGTGCCCGATGCGCCTACACATTAGCAATACATTGTTCGCATTTGATGCAGACTGTGCCAAACCGCGCAAGCACGTTAGGCCCCGCAGGTGCACTTTAGCTCTGAGGCGTGGCCTTCAGAGGATGTCCGTAGCCCTCCAACTTTCTATATTTGACTTTTTACGACCTTGGAGAAAAGTGAAGAATAGTGAAAAATGCTTGACAATCACCACATACCAGTGATTTCGTTTACTATTACTAGCAAATATGCAATTTGAACTTCACCTCGGAGTAGCAAAGTCCGTGCTTAAAAGTGCAGTGCCGGCTATTCGCCCGCTCTTCATTCTGATCATGTGAACCATGCTGGTAGCCTCTCATGCCTTTTGTAAATCGCAAACGGCCTGCAAGCGTTAGAACGGTGATAACTGAAAGCGCATTCGATTAATAAATAACAACCACCTCCATTTCCCTTAATACATTAGAGCTATTACAAGGGGAGCTATCGTAAAGGCAATCAGATGAAGGGTCGAGAATAACCTATGCAACTAGCAACTTCTTCATACACGTGCCCTGAAGGAACGCCATGAACAATTGAAGCAAAACAAGTTAGTCACCCGTTAAATCCTTCTTACTTCATGACTTATGGCACCCGTATCTATTTTATTTGGGATACAAACTAAACAGGCACACCTACCTTAAACCTCTTCCTATTAAGTGGCTGCCATTGGAGTGGCGTTGTTGAAGGCAAGAAGAACATACGAAATGGCAGGACAAAATTGCAGACTTACGAGAATCTGCAAGAGGATTTACTGAAGACGACCGAATGTGACCTCAACTGCACGCTAATTTGATGGCAGGTTCGTTTGTGGGCCTTTTTATGGTATCAACAAAGTTGCAATGATTGACACGGAAGACTGATCACGAGGAGTGCCAAATGCGGGGAAGGGGACTGTTAAATGCACTGCCTGTTTGCTCACCTCTTTGTTTAGGTCAGGCCAAGTCACAGACTTCGTGTTACCATCAGGGAGAGCATTCCACTTTGCTGTTAGCTGATAATGCATTTTTGGCTTTGAGAAGAATTAATACAAAAAGCAAAGCATTAATTTTTGGTGCTTTATCAATCACAAGTAAGCAGTAGCCCTTGATCAATATTTTGGACGGGACTTCTTTTACTCGGAAAAATTTTTTGGATGACAGCATGCGTACTACTTTGGTTATTCTACTACCGTTGTAAGAAGGCCTTCGAATCCAAACATCTTTCCATGCTCTTGAATGCAAGAATTTCGTCCATGCCTAATGCCTTCCCGGAATGTTACACAGGTGGCAGCGAACTAGATGTTACGACTTCGATCATAGTTTCAATCGTTTGTGGCAAATTTCTGAGGTGTAAATGAAGATAACGGAAATGTCGAGATAAATTTTAACTTCTCGAAAGCCAAAGAGTTGAGAATAACGTCTGTGTTTGGCATTAATCCTACTCCTACGCTCCACGGGCTAGCAAGTAAAAACTGAAGCAACACCTACAAAAGTTTTGTTTTAGAGTGGGCAGTGGCAATGCGCTATACCGTCTTCCATACGGGAATGTCTTTGATCCCGTTTGCATTATTATGCACATGTCTTAGGCAAATGTTCAAATGTCTGGCCCTAAATACAGTTTATGGCCAACAGAAGCTCTCACCTCGGGTTCCTGTTTTCCGAAAGAACGCAATCGAAATCCAGTTGAAGCTTCTGAAAGGGTCAAGTATAATTTCTCATGCCCACATGAGTTGAAGACTGACACAGTTAGTGAGCGAGCGCTGGCTCAAGTGGGGTGCGCGAGAATGCAGGAAACGCCGCTCAAACGCAAGGAGACCTTATGTCAAGTGGTGACATCGGTATTTATATTAGTCACGCTGGGTGGGCTAGACTTTCGGGACAAAACTCAGCCACGCTTGGTGCCTCTTACCTCTATGTTTAGTCCAAAAAAGTCGCAATGCAAAATAATGGGTCTAGTAAGCAAAATGAAAGTGAAAACAATAATTTTTGTTGTTAAAATTTTATGCATACCTGAACTTTAATTTGCTTGAGACTCCTACATTAATCCAATTTTATATAGCGCCTTTTTTCATTTGAGATTGATGGATTCGACGTTATTTTTACCAATTTTTAAGTATATCGTATCTGGTTTACTGACTGAACTTTGGATAATTTAAACAAATTATGTGTGCTTGTCATGTGAGTCCCCAGGTTTGTCATTCGTCGGCGTGTCGCAATCGCAAGACAACTTCTAGAAGCGTTTGTTTGCATCTCAAGTTGCATTTATATGTTAAATTCAATTGGAAAAATGTTGATAAACTTCACAGATGGCTTGGCGGTTTACTTTTTTGTGACTTCATCTCGGTTCATCCTATTCAGTACACATGTTGGCGTGTAAATACTTGAAGACAGCATCGTCTGAATCGAAATTTAAATAATGAATGCAGTAGTGGCGTTTGTTCACTTAATGTTGCTATTGTGTATTGTGTTTTCATGCGTTCTTGCGAATCAAGGTCTTGATTTGAGCGAAAGTTGTTTACCGGCCAAAGGTATGTTTTCTTTTGGTCTGATTCTTCCATAGATAAGGCGAAGTGGACAAGGAGTCTGCACTATAATAATCAATCTTTCTCTCTCAATATCGAGGTGAACGATAGGCCCTCTCATTGGATTATAAATTACATATTTGAGATACTCATTCGAGAGCGTTTTGGGTACAGAAATATTAATTTTATTTACACTCCGTGGGATTCTTCCTTGGATGCCATCAATCGTCTCAACTGTGAAAAGTCCAACGACTGTTCTCGTCCCCCACCCATTCATGTGAATCTGGAATTGTGGCTTCGCACTGGAGAGCAAGTTTCGGATCATGCGCCTTCACATCGCGTAAATATGAATGGACCACTTGGTCCGATAACCCGATGGGGCCTCTACACCAATGAGGAATTATTGACTCGTCAGTCCCCGGTATGCTTCTACTTTCCGATTCACTAATTTTATTGCGTCAACTCTTAAACCCAGTCTTTGAGCCTCTGTATTTCGCTGTTACCGTGGTTGATGTTTTTGGGTTTCCTCTATTACAAAGTCATTAGTAATGGCACTGAAGTTATTTATTAAAGTTCAACTTATTTTTAGTTGCTCCTGTTAGTTTTCCTGCAATAAACTGTTTATCTTTTTAGTGTGGTCGGAGGATAAGTCCGTACAATAAAGGTTGAAGTGTTTAAAATACCTTAAATCAATTCAATTTGACGTATTCGCTAGCACGTGCGCCAAATGTTTGCGTCCATGCGCCCAGATATTGTCAAATGTCATTTGACATTTCAACTTTTTCATTGTTAATAATCATCAATAAAACTCGTGAGAATTGTGCTATTGTGAATGGGGTGCATGTTTCGCATCTCAGGGCTTGGGCGTTTTTAGCGTACTATTTCTTCAATGCTCAGTTTCGAAATGGATTTATACTCTGTACTTGCTTGGAAATTTAAAAGACAATCTAAGAACTCAGCTACCTAGTCAAACTTAACCTTCCTCCCGATGGGTATTGCTCTGTTCTGCGATTTTGCCATCCTTCGAACTGCTCCATTTCCGTTAATTTGGTGATTGATTACGGTCCATTTTTTTTGCACTTTATTCCTAATGGATTGTTGCATTTTTGCGCGGTATTCGTGCTTTGTCCCTAGTTTTACACAGCTATCTTTATCGGATATAGTTCAAAAATTTTTCTCAGCTCTCCAAGTTTGACAATAGTGTAACAAGTATGTGTTTAGAAAAACGAATTCGACACGGTGCATTCCTTTTTCGATTCGTTTTTGTTATAAAACAGCTTTCTTCTGTTTATGGTGATAGGTGAGAAGGGGAAATAGCCACTGTTTTGTTTGATTCCCTGAACCCCTACTCCGACAGAATGCTTGAAATTAGCTACTTGGCACACTTCCGTTTCTAGAAATCTGAGTAAATCATTAGCTATTCAGTTGTGGAAATGATGGAATCTAAGGTAGTGGACTTATATATTAATTTGTGTAAAACTATTAAGTAGCGACGAATGAGTGTCCTCTACTTTTACGCTAGACTTCCTAGCTATTCTGTAAACCGGATTTCATGCTTTCAAAGTCAAGCGCCAAATATCATGACTTGCGTTTATGTTTCGTGGCCTTGTGTTCACTAGGAAAGCTTCGATGTAAAGGTATTCCAAGAGATCTGGATCGAGATTATAATTTCATTGTGTTTTAGTCCACTTGTCTTTTTCGATCTGCATTAATGTGCTACTTATTTATCCAGACGCAAACTGTTGCATTACTTGTAACTTGGCTTCTTGCTGAAAACTCCAGACCATTTTTGCTGGAGATCACTGACATACGTGGGGTAAGCAACTAATACTAGTCGAACGCATCCGTTTTGTTTTCACAGATTTATGTTTGGGAAGGCTTTTTAGCTGTACCTTAATGTCTCGATGGTGGTGAATGACGGTGCATGGGGCTTGTCTTAATTTCCTGCAATATCTTCATTCCTGTCAACCTCATTTCTCGTTGATTGGCATTGGGGGTTGCTCACGGACTAAATGGAGTTAGATCCATTACATGCTGCGAATTCTTTGTTTCGTGTACTTTTGCGTTTTACTGTTGCAAAGATCCGCTACACACAGAATGACTGTACCCTTTGTTGAGTCATTTCTTGCTACAATGCCTAAATATCATGTGTTTATACAGCTTATGAATTCCAGCCACTATGACTTTAAATGGTAGTTGTGAAAGTGCGGTGGTGTACGTTGGATTGCATTGTGTACCCTTTTTCTCACTGGTTATCCGTTTTCATACTCCACGACCTCTTCTCCGCCACGTTAGTAGACACGTTTATAGGCAGATTGTTGGAAGGCATCAAATAATACTAGTATCGCTCTACCCCTCCATTGGACAAGGTTATAGGTGTTAATTTTAGGGCATTGTTGAATCATGAATTCTGAAAACACAGCTGTCTGGTTGTTGCGTAGATTTTCTTAATTTATTATAATCTGTGCATCAGCTGACCAGCCAGCCAGTCCGTTTAGCTCGCCAAATAGTAGTCCTCCTCCGCGTCGAGAAGATTTGCTGGAAAAAGTGAAAAAAAGTTTATGGCCATAGGATTATCGTCGTTATTTGCTATTACAAAAATTCACTTATCAGTGGTTTATACTTCGGGATGTTGATCCCTACTCTGGTTGACAAATTTGTTCAAGCTCCTATTTTCGAATGCGCATTTTGGGCTATCAATTGAGCAACTAGACTGCCATACTTCACCCGCTCCACTTGTTCCAGCTTTTAGGGGATTGTAAAATTTGACTGTTTTTGCATTTTGGGGCATTCACTAATGTGCCAGTACCCCTTAGTTTGCTTTTTTGGTCAAATATGTTACTTGAGCCTAGCCTTTTTCATGAACTGAACGTGAACTTACCTTTAAACTTACGGGAAGTTTCTGCTTAGTGTTCGATTTAGAGGTAAGAACCACCATGTAGTTTTACCGCATTTGAATAGACTTGGCTTCTTATAAAGGTAATTGACTTATCGTCCTCGATGCCATTTCCGAGAAATAGGCTGGGAACATAAATCGCTTACACCTATTACCGGTAGGAGTCGTAAAAACTAAGAGAATAGGCTCTATCCCCTTCTCCGGCAGACAGTAGTGAGCTTTAAGTTCGTTTTGCTCTTCATCAAGCCACTGCGCGTGGATTATAAAACGTTCCGTGCATTTTAGGCTGGTAATCGACCTGTTGTGAGAAATAGCTTTTGTGCTGCATTAGGATGTTCGTTAAGCAAACAGTCATGTCATTGGTTATCCCCAAGCGATCCACTCACTACGCTCCCCACAGGTCTGAGGCATGCGCTATTTTGTTTGTGGAGGACTGTTTCGCTTATGTGATGGACAGCCGATGCAATTTTTTGCTCCCCTTGGCCCTCTTAAAGGGCCAAAATTTAACGACTGAAAACTACTCGCTCAATGCAACTGGAAACTTTAAGGAAAATGTATTCTTCAGAGTTTACCTTTTGGGAGGGAGGGAGTTTTTCTCCTCATCTGAATTTTCTCCATATTCTTCTAGTTATTATTGAAGCCATAGTATGTAAAATAGAGGTTAGAGAAATTGCGGTGATGTAGAAACGGAGCCCAAACCGCAGGTTGTGTTAGCGCAACCTCTCACGGATAAAAGGTTCTCTTGAACTTACTTGGTTGCTTAAGGTCATTTTCCGTGTCCTAGCTTTTATTTTTGTCATTGTTACATCCAACCTGTGCTTCGCATATCCTTTCCATTGTTGTCCGCACTCCAGTCTGTCCAAACACTCCCATGCACATGTTGCATGTGTTGTTATTTGATACTTCTCAGTGCTGCCATAAGTCATTGTTTAATGTAAAGAATAAGCAACTGTTTTGGTAGTAGCTTATCAGTTTTCTGGGTCCATTTCTGTTTGTCTGGCAGTATGACTTGAATTGACTGTAGTACAATCATTTGGTCTTTTGTGTAAAGTACCCTCCGTCCTTTTGGTTTTCTCTTTGTATCGAATTTCGTTCATTCCACTCTAGCTTCCCGAAATGCCTGTTTATAGTACTAAAAACATGTGTTAATTTGGAGAACGGAGTACGCTTGGTGCAGTTTTGAGAACTCACCTGCAAATTGGGTTTGGTAGTTTCACCGGTACGCTATGGGAATTTAACAGCCACCTCTGCAAGGTTTGTTGAAAACAGGCAACATTTCGTAGGCTTTATTGAACATACTTGTACACACACTAGTAGTGCAGACGAGTTGGTGATATCTGTTCCTTTACGTTCGGGGTAACGCGACTCACGCCTGTCATACGTCCATCCTCCGCTCTTTCATTGATGCCTTCTACAGACGCTCCAACGATCTTACTCGTCTACTTTCTCCCATTCAACTTGCTTATCTACTCAAAGTCTCGACCGATTATCTAGACCGCCTTATGGTTTTGGTGGGTTACACTTTGGTCCAGTCTTGTTTTTCACGGAACTGCGTTCAAGGACATTGGGGTTTCTATTTTTCTTGTATCCTTTATGCTACTATTGTTTGTACAGTGAGAGGAATATTGTTTCTGCGTCCAATCTAATTGTTACCCCAATGGCAATCGGAATCGATTGGAAGGCCTTGACTACCTATATTCGATTTATAATGGGCGTTGACAAGCTTGTGCGCATGTGTACACAAGACCATGGGTGGTCTTAGTCATTCTCACCGATAAACCCTCCCACCTTAATGGTCATGCATCTGATCAAGTTTGCGAATAGACTCCCTCATTAATCAGAAGGCGCATCATTCGTTTTCACCATGACACAGCAGACGGTGTTTTTATGATTCACATTGAATTCGTCCATATGTCCCTTGTATTCCTTTCTAGATTGGCGAATTGCTGATATAAAAGGCAGCACCATTTAATGTGATTTTAACTGTGACGAGGTAAATGTTTGCCTAATCTGGTTCGAAACTAATTGTCGTACTTAACTACTTAACTATTTTCCAGCGGAAAGGGATACTTGTTCATTTGAGAGTGAGGGAGTTGTAAATTAGTTTGCTGGAAGCTGAGTCTGCTAATTTTTTGCCTTTCCCATGTTCACCATACCGCGGGACTGCTGTATTTGTTTTATCATGAGGAGCGTTTTATTGAATTCATAAGGCATGAAATTATGGTCACACTTCGAACCGTCATAAGGCGTTGCCTTACAATTGACTTCTACCGTTGAGTTGGTGATCTGTGTCATACGACCCTTTTGGGCCTTAGGTTGTCAATTTGTGCTCCCAGAATCAGTACGTAGACCTTATCGCTTGTTTATTCCGAGCGCCTTTGCCACCAAATATCATGGCAGACCTTTGCAACAGTGGTGCGTTGTCTCTGCGCCATGTTTACCGTACTTTCTTTGATGTTACTTAGGTTAGTCACTGGCCGGCGGAATCAGCAGACTGCTTTCTGTCCTGAGCTGCACTTTTACGTTGCATTGGCAAATGCCTTGTTCCACTTAGTTTGGAACGGATTTTTTGGGTCAACAATTTCACCTTGGCTACTACGGCTAGACGAGTTGGTCTCGGGCATACTGCCTTCTTGAAATGAATGTTTACTAATAGTTAACAGCCATACGTTTTTTTGCACCACACCTGCTCCATTACCGGGACCATGTTCAACTCTTTTCCTTTTAATGTAATAACTTCATATTTTGCTCGTGAGACCTCTTGAATGCTAACGTGTTATAACATTATTATTAACCACTGTCTTGTCGTTTTCAAGCGCGCTTTGACTGTTTTATCAAACACTTATCACAATACCTTTGAGGCAGCAGAGCGCGGCCATGTCTTGACCTAGCTTAATTACCTAGCCATCCTCTTTAGGCTCTACTGTCATTTAATATGGCAGTTCATTACTTCCCAAAAGCTATGTGTGCATATTTAGATCCTTGTGTTGTCATCCCTAAATGCCTACGCAAACGCGTAAGTTGTAATACATTTTTTGGACCTAATATGGGTTGTCTCCATGCCGTCTGACCCCTCCAAAACCGCTTTTCTAGTGCAGTGCAGACCTTTAATTTTTTAAGAAGAATGGGAAATTTGGGTATGTGTTTTCTCGTTCACTTTTTCGAACCTAGTTCTAATAAATGCAGCGTGTGTTATGGGAGCTTTCCACTGTCAAGTGAATTGCTTAGGCTGTCTGATTTGAGTAGATTTTCCACATATTGGGATGATGCTTTTCAACTACAATGCCCTTGATTTGCGGTGTCATCAGCATCGTGAAAATGTGCTCCAAATGGCGTTGAATTCTAAGATGCAGAGGAAAGATGTGACCTTTCATATTATGCTGGAAACCGCATTGCAATGAACATATGGAGAATAACAAGCATTGGAAGTTTCCTTTCGATGCTTCTATGCTTGTTAATCTTAGCGTCTCTCGTGCAAGTTACTTGGCTTTTTTGCATCTCGAAGAGTTGAGTTATTCCGTTTTGTGTACTTTTCGGGAGATACCGCTTCGCATATTCCGAAACATCACTTATGCTTTAAATGGTCACGCTAAAGAAATTTGTGAATATGAATCATTTTACGGATAGAAAGTGACGGTAAGGTGGTGGATTAATAGGCTGCAGTCTTATTGTGTATGTGCGATTTCTGGACAAGTCGCTCCCGGTGACACTCGAAAACAGCAATGGTAAAGTAGTGAAACAGTTCAGCAGCTCTCATGTCTTGCTGGTACCACTCACTTTTACCCGGACACACTTTGCATGTTTGTAGTTGCTGGTTGATGTGCTGGAATCTGCACAAGCAATAAAAGTAAGGTCTAGTGCATTGTCTACACACCTCTTGGAAATTGGTAAATTTTATGACCGTGAGAAGTTAACAAATCAGGGCAGTGTTTGAGGTTACTAAGTCATACCTACGTAGTACTTCGCCGTTTTGGATCGTGTAGTGCTCTCCATTTTTAGATTAGCCCAGCTTTTTGAAGGACTGTTCGCAAATCGCAGAAAATGAGGTGATGACGTTCTCTGTAGTTTCAGCTATATGGTGTTCTCATTGGGTTGCTTTCACTTTTGGGTCTAAAAGCGAAACATCAATGGGATATGGCTCACCTTGATCTTTACTTCTGAAAACATGTTACACAAATCGGTATTCGAAAGCATTTTGGTACCGTTTTAAATGCGTGCATCCATCTTTATAATAGGTTAATTGGTGTCAATTTTCGCGCCTTTGATAGCTTGATACCGACCCGCGGATCTCCAAGGGTGTGCATCCAAATCAGCCTTTTGGTGAAGGCGTGCTCTTCTACGACCGTCCCTCGATGCTGGAAGCCTATAAGACCCTTCTCTCAGAGGATGGCATGTCAATGGAATTACGTGCGGAGCAGCATCCGACTCAGTTCTTGTGGAACCTTACCGCACATACCTCACGCCTTCCCGTCCTCCTTAACTGGTACCCTAATACCCTGACGCTCAATTCACGACTTGTTCGTCTCGGTCTGCCCGACTGTGTCGCTCTGCGCGCCCGCACCCCCATCAACTCCTCTGTCGACTCTGCTTGTGCCTTTGAAGTCAATCAATTGGTAAAGGTCTCCTGGGCTGGCCTTGCGGAGGCAGCTCCCCTTGTCACCCAACTAATTGACAGGTTCCATATCAAACAGACTGACTACATTCAACTCCTTCGCCATGTAAGCATTTCTCTTAGGTATTTCTCAATAAGTTTTATGGGAAGCATAACATGTGTTCATTAAAATCGAGAGACTGGTGGGTGGAAGTTGGCGCATGTATGAGACACGCTCTTAATGCACAGCTCTTAACGACTCTTCGGTGATTCTTCTGCACTCGGAAGGCTGTATACATTTTTGCACAACTCATTTCCCAATGCTCGTAGTAATCTTCGAAGGATCTTGTAATTCGTTCACTGCACACAAACGACTCAGCCATTTGGCCACAGTTTATTTTCGATCGTTTTGGCTCTCATTCTACCCCATGACTGCTTGAGTGAACATCATGATCTGTCTGTGTGCAAGAAATCATCGCTGTGGTGGTCAGATTGAGCTCTGGTTGATGTTGTATTGGGATGAAGGCTTACCGAGTCACGTCTATATTGAGGTGCTTTTGCTCCTTCCAATATTTTCGATATTTCCCTCGCTTTGGCTTTTGATTCTGAACAGCCATGCTTGTTTGTGTGTATGAACGTGGGTGTTTTCAGAACGCACCGACCATGTGTGTATGCGTGTGGCCTTGTCTGTGTGTATTTGTATATGGCCTAAAAGGTAGTGTGGAGAGAGCAATCACGCATGTCAAAAAGGCTTATTAATCACTCAACAGAGGCATAGTTTTGTGCTTGTGTGATGATGGTGGTGGCGGTGGAAACCTAGCCAAAAGACTCTCAGTCGCGGAGCTAGTTACTTTGCCCTCTAGTCTGTGATGTTTTGCGCTCTCCTAAGGTATGGAGGTTGGGATACCGGGGGGATTTCGGCTTAAAAATCTACTCCTTGCCTCTCCTTCTGGACAACAAACTGCCTCATCATTGTAAATCACTTGATTCTTCCACTTGTTGGGAGCTTGTGGACTCTTATTCTCCATAAGGCGGGTTTCCTTCGAGAATTACGAATCTACTGCATGTTACACTTTCGTCATGTTTTCATGCAAAAGTTCATTTTTTTAACGTTGAAATGTCTTCTAGGCATTTAAAAGTGGTCCTATTAGAGATGAGTTTAGGTTCCTCTTCTGTTTTGCAACATAGGTTCTCATTATTACGTTTTTCTATAATGTCACTGCATTCAATCAGCTTTTTGTTGGTCGGAGGGATTTGTGTTACTTAACTCAATAAAACTGCTTAACAGTATCAGAATGATAATTGTCTGCAAATGAAATGAATTGGTTGCATTGACAACAAACTCATGTCAGAGAAGTCAAAACTTAAGCAAGCAAAGTGGTAAATCGGAACAATATTTGCAAAAAGTGAGCTGTCAGTGGCCGTCAGTCCACCCTTCCTCTCTTCTAGGTTAGCCCCGACCTCCTAAACTACACTGATGCAGTAGAGCGAGGTGAGAAGAGGCAGTTTCGTGCGCGTTTTCGCGAAATGGCCTGTCGGTGGCTGCGGATGCATCGACCGAGGTGGGAACAGTGGACCGAAGGGTGGAACGTTAAGAAGGAGATCATTATTGGGGGCATGTTTACATTTACCGGCACCGAGGAGTTCAATGATTTGGCTCCCAGTAAGCTACCCCTTCCTTTACCCCTTTTGATTCATTATTCCTCCCGTTTTGTGACTAGACGCTCCTATTGTGTTCCCCTCCTCTACGCGTTACCATAAGATTGGCATTCTCTTTTACTTCAATCCCTGGGCGCTTAATTAACCTTTGAGGGGAGAATTGGCTCCTTTGTAACATTCGGGTATCTCAAATTCATGCTTCTCATTTTGATTCCTACTAGTACATTAACTCTTTAATACAATTATCTAGATGGGGATAGATGGAGGAATGCATTAACTTAACTTTTCTTCATTTTGTGGTCAGTATTGACAGGTCTGAGAACATTACTAGTAGTTTGTGTTACTGTTACGCTAGAAATTAAATCAAATGCCTTCAATTTGCGTCACGCCTTTAGCTTTTCTGAGACATATTGCATTAAGCTGACAATCCAGACGCCTGTAAACGCCAACCCGGTTAAATTTGAACTTGTCTCCAGCCTTCACTCCCTTGACAAAAGTGAGTCAACCACTCACCTCCACTCAATCACATACCCACGCAATCAGTAGTCTGCAATCTACCACTTTCCTTATAGTTTATTACTCGCGCCAAAATTCTTCCCACTGCTTATTTTGCACTCACATGCCTCCCAGGCAGAATGGGTGAGTACGGATCAGATCTTGTTTTGAAACGTTCAGCACTTTCGATATGTGCGTATATGAGTATCTTAGTTATTAATGTACCACACATATGCCACTCCAGATCTCTGCTCGGATTAAAATGAGTTTTGAGTCGTTCATGCCGCATAATTTTTCTGTTTACGAAGTTATGACAGACGTCACAAGTTCATCTCTTTGTGGATCCCTTACTCGCTTTGCCTCTGCTCCAACGGCTATTTCGAATCAAATTTGGAAGGGTGCACGATCTCATGCCCGTCCTCCGCTTTCATTCACGCGCACACGGTTTTTGAGTCAGTCACGGATGTTGCAATTTTTCAGCCAATTTTTTTTAAATCGCAGGATTGTTTGTGCTTTCCAAAACCCCTTTCTTCCTGAGGTCATCCTTTGACGACGCACTCAGGTTTAGTGCTGACTCATGGAAAGTTTGTTGAGACGATTTTTGGTCACTCTTATTGGAGGTTGTAAAATCGTGCGTACAAAAATGGCTTTATCTTGTTTACAACTTCAGAACCGGATGTCAGGTTTTCCCATTTCTACATTCCATTGAATAACATTTCGTAGTGTTCCTCGTACAACCCAATGGCGTCTGCCATTCTGTTTTTTCAATGCTCTCTCTAGGCGACTACATTTGGCTGGCTCATTCGATCCAAATGCCAGACGTTTTTATAGAAAAATTATTCTTCATGTTACCCTGATTTGGTGTATAGTTGAATGCGTTGCAACACTACATACTTTTGGCTTCTCTATTAGGCCTTGGATTAATCGCGAAGTCGCGAGCGCTTCACCACTGATTTTCTCATTGCATTAAATGTCAATCATGCAACCAAATTCAACTTAATAAAATCAGTCTCTTTCCGCTTAGCAGTAACCAAACTCCACCTTAAGCGAAGCTGCTCATACGAATCAAGATATTTCTTGTTTTTGCTTGTTTGCACCGCTAATGAACTCAAAGCATCGGTTGCTTTGCTTGTATGGTCAAGATCGTCCTTTGTGTTTCGAATCTTGGGGGGTCGCTGAGACCATTTATCACCAGCATACGCTTCTGGAAGAGGACTTTAATCCGTTTAATTTGGCTATTCAACGTCCCTTTCCTCGGTTTTCTTCGTTTATCACAAGGAGGGCGATGCGCCTCGTAAAATCCACTGCGATTGAAGAATTAAAATTTCTACATACTGCTGCTGTTAGTCCACTTTTTATGCTTACCCTTTGAGCACTTGTTTTGATTTAAATAGGCCTTGCATTTAATGGTATACGCTTTTCACCTCACTTTTGGCCATTGTTCTCCAAAATAAAAAACCACACACCTATAATTGCCTTCTAATAGAAGACTAACAGTCTACTATTGACTTTCCTGAGGATTTCTCTAATTAATTCACTGATTGTTGAGGTCTTTTACAGACAAACTTTTAGCCCGTCTGTAGGTTTTTTTTGTTTCCCTTGCTAAAGGAGTTGCAAAGAAAGCTTGGGTTAGCATCACCTGGACAGTCATCAAAAGCATAAAGCCTAAGTATGAAGAAGCCTTGCCTTTGTTTGTGGCGTCAGTGAAGCAGCCTTTCCCCTACTTTTTGTCTTGGTGCAGGTTTGATCCGTATCCCTTTGCTTTAATATTTGGGGTTATTTCTTAACAGTTGCATCAGCTACTTCATTTCTGTGTTTGTTACACCCTCCTCGATTCGTCGAAGACTGCATTACGCTCCCACCCTAGTCCTTTGAATCACACATCAAAATGTTGACTTAAATGTTCACAAAATCGCTTACAACGAGGTTCACTAAAACCATGTTACTTGGTGCAGTTTCACAAGACGATATCTCTCCTCTCTGACTTGGAAGTTGGGCTGATGACCTTCTCTTGAGGTCTAAAACAGTGCACCGCATTTTCCCACTCTCGTGTTATCTTCCCTAAAATCCACTTTAAATGATCACGCTCTATCAGCTCTCATCTAATTTTATCCAAACGCAGAGGTCTGCTGACACTGCTCTTTTTTTTTATAGGAGGAGGGTGAAACACGAACGTTTACTTCACTGTTTGAAGTCTTTCCCTTTTTCCCACTCGTACAGGTGGGAGGTCACTAAAGGCTCTTCATTTAAATAAGGCGTCTTTTGGAAGAAAAGTTGTAGTGGATACTCTTTCTTTTATTTACTATCAATTTTCCAAAACCTAGAAATTGGTGTACGGGGAAAAGACGAAGCTTCACTCACCCCTTCACTTTTGGCAGGTGACGAGCAAACGGTGTTTGCTATTTTTATCAAGTGTAGCATTTCCCACTGTTGTGGGATTCAGCTCTTGTGGCCACTGATCCTTTAACCAAGTTCAACTAATTATTTTGATCCCTGGGCGAATCGTTCAAATGTAGTTCGTGGCTACCCGCCTCCTCATATCCTTGCCTTCCATAGTGCTTTCCCACTTTGCATTCCCTCACACATGTTTACTTATCTTCGGTGTTTACGGTGGCGCTATTCCTATTCCTATGATCAGTTTATCAGCCGAGAAAAGTTGTCTTAGTCTGTTGTTTAAATGGAATCACTCCAAGTTAACAATGTGAAAGGCTGAGCTTCTCCGTAGCTCCTGGGCGCCGCTCTTTTGGCAAAACACTCGAAGGACTTACATAGGGTGTGGCTACGAGTAAGCCTGATAATTAGAGTGGCTTAAAAGTGTGGACAACGTGATTCGTATGCTCGCAAGATGAATCACAACTGCTCAATTCCATTTTTTTTTGGCATTTACTGCGTCTGTTTCACCTCTCTCCTCTAGCCTCACCACCTTTTGACTGTGCGTAAGGTCTTATTTATTAAATCAACGTTCAGCAAGGTTCACTTTGGAATGTTATGATTATTAAAGGTACTGCAAAGTGGTTTAAATGTGCCTCATTTTTATTTTTTTGTACTACTACTCATATAATCAGACTCAATAGACCATGCATTTTGCGTTCTGCAATTTCCTTTGGTCCCGTCATTGAACTTCGTTTATTTCCTCTGTTTGCGCCTCAGTATTAGCTCTTGTGGGTTGAATACAGCGCTGCTTTTTGTGTCTATACACGTGGTGGCGCATAATTCGCCTACGTCGCCACAGAACTGCAAGCTCTAGTCGGTGTCTTTGATCGCGATGCACTGATGTTTAGGTAGGGCGTACATGCATGCGGAACCATCATTTTTACTGTCCTATCACCGTCATCAGCAGTGGGTTTAGGCCGTGCTTACCACAACACTTCCCTCGAATGCCCAAAAGCAGCGTTGGATGAATGCCCCACTGCATTTGCCTAAGCTCTTTGTACTACAAGCCTAACTTTGACAGATCCTTTACGCGCCTACTTGGAGGTGTAGCGAGGGCGAGATTGTTCCTTTCACCTTTTTTTGAATATTTAGGATCAGTCCTGTTGGGTTCTGATTCCTATGAATTTCTTGCGGTTCGTGCGCTTAGCTTCTATCCTAATTCTTATTCATCGTAATTGCTTCCAGTGATGCTCTCATTTGATACTCCCTACACTAACTTGCTGTAGTCAGCGATGATTGAGTTTGTCACCAAATGACTTCATCCGTTAGATCACAGATTTGTTACTTTGCCTATAATGAAAACTGGTTTTGCTCAATCTCCTTCTGCACAGACGCCTTCCATGCAGTGGACGTTCTGAACGGCGATGAAAAATATTTTGGCAATTCAGAGTTTGCCATTCGTCTCCAAATTCGCAATCTCACTTGCTCCCAGAACGTGGTGCTCAACGACTTCTTCAATTTCCTTACCGTTAACCCCAACAATGAAAGCATTCTTGGGGTGATTCGTAAGTAGCAGTTTTTTGCTTTTTACTTACCCAACTTTGTCCACGTTGCCAATCAGTCAAATAGCTTTCGTTCGCCATTATGATGCACTTGATAAAGCCAAAATGGCACCTGGAACCACACTATTGCTTTCTCGGGGTGGACGATCGCTTCTAATTTTTACGTAACTGACTACTTTTGCTTCCTCTCAGACGCACCAGTGTTGAAACAATCATGTAAATAACCAGGTGCAAGGATTAGCCCATTGCCTTTATCGCTTTGTTCGAAATATCTGCACTCTAAATGCGTTGGATACTGTTCTGTTTTTTTTTTTAACTTGGAGTTTAATTTGAAAAAAAGCAGAACCTAGAGTCCTATGCATTTCTCTTATTCTATTAACTAATTGAGTATGCTAGCCCCTTTTTCCTACCTCGACGCCGAAGGCTTAGTAAACAAAAGTTTTCAGGCTCAGTAAAGAAGTAAGTAGATGTGCTTTTTCCAGTGGGATGAGTTCTCTTTTCGTGTTCGACGTACAGCAGATTTATGCTAACTTGAGCTTGAAAAGTTGAAATGACGTGGTTTGTTTGTGCACACAGATAGGAAAGTGTTTGACACCGACATTTGCGATTTTCCTCCACCCCTTTGCTTGATTGCTGTCTCCTTTCATTCCTCGCATCGATTGGCAGCTTATCTGATTCACTTTTTGACATTGTCTGTCGTGGTTGCAGTAGGGTCGTTTTGCCAGTGTGAATACTGGGGTCGTTTTGTTGAAACCCACACCTACCTTTGAGTTCAGTGCTATCTGTGGGGTTCTTTCTACTGCCTCTATCTCATCAATTATTCAGAATTAATGAACTGCCGAATCGCTTAAAACTGGATTTTATTTTTGCGATTACTTTTCAACCACTACTAAACCCGCATCCCTTGCCTTCTGCTGACCCTTAAATCCATCACTTCGATATGTCATATGATATTAATGGAAAATTTATCGCCTTTTTCACTAACACTCAGCAGTAGGTAGTTCACTGTGCTCTGTTTCAGTTGCTCTTTGCCCTGATGCTATTGAGGCGACTGTGCGGTTGGCGAACTTGCGTCGAGTGCTTGTCATCTCGCCCACTGTGGAGTCTGCCTCCTTTCTGTGGCAGAAACATTACAAATTCTTCTTTCGCACCATTCCTTCCGCTTACACTGCCAGGTATGCCTTGTAGGAAGAATTACTTTCATTGGAAACGCCGTGCGAATTCTGGAAGACAGTTTTATTCGTAACCAATTCTGTGCCTTTCTTAACTTGAACTGGTTTTGGTTAAGCTGACCTCTAGATTGGCCTTCCCTTACCGATAATAAATAATTAGTTTCTGTGGTTGTTTTCAGGGAATTTGCAGGTAGCTATTGAGTCTTCTGAGGAACCGGTTTCGATTAACCTGAATGCTCAACAGTGTGGCAGAAAACTGTCAGTCAGTAGTTAGGGTACAAATAATTATGATAAAACCTTGACGGATATGGATATGATACACATATTGCTGTGGCGTTGATACCTTGAGACTGTAAACCTATTACTTGAAACCGTATTTGTTAATCTGACCCATATCGCCTCGAATTGGCAGCATATAAATCGTCAAGCACACTAATCTTTTTGGTTCTTCACCAAGGATAAACGAGGGTATTTGTTTTCCCTCCCTACTCACTTCTTCATGTTTGTCCTTTCCCTCTGTTGCCAGTTTCATCTTCATACGCCTGTTCCAGCAGTGGCGGTGGAAAAGGGTTGCGATGTTTCGGAAGGATGATCATTATTTCTATCGCGATGCCTTCACTGCCAATAACATCACCTTGGTGGATGACTTTGAGGTGAAGGAGTCGATGCTCACCTATGCCGTTGCTCAAAAGGCACGTTTTACTTCACTCTTCTCCTCCCTCTCTTCCTGTTTTACCTAAGAAAGTCTTAGTTGGTTGACGAAAGGTACACACGTGCCCCTTTGTCCCTCTTTCTGTAGCTTGGCACAATTCACGTTCAAAATTTGGGCTCATGGGGCTGCCGGAAAGTTGAGGTAATCACTCCAGCCTCTTTGACTGCGTCCACAGGATCAGAGACAGTAGTTTGCTTGTAGGTACAGTCTTCACTAAAATAACCGCTTTTCCATCTTTTCTGTTTCTTGTCAAGTCGTGTCCTTCTCCTCACCTTGTTAGTTTTTTTGGACGAATTCCGAGAACCATCTTTGCTTTTAAGGCAGCAAAATCACACTTTTTTTCTTAAATGGGCTCTGAAATGTACGAAAATGGATCTCTTAAAGGAAAAGCTGACTGTAAAGCCCCTACGGATCTCAAGCAGCGTGAAAATTTGTGATCTAACTTTTGCTCTGCTTCCTGCACTTCCCGTAATGTTCTAGCTACGCCTCTTCATTTGATCGTAAAAGTCTATTCGCACACTTGCAAAATAGTCCAATGTACTTGAGTTTTCAAACCTGCTAACAATAACGTCAGCTTGTAGCTATTTGACTGTCAAATCCCTCTCCTGTGTTTTGGTTGACTACGTTCATTCTTCCTTTGGCGCACAGAATGTCATGTCGGTGAAACAGCGCAATGGACGAATCATAATAGTGGATCATTCGGCCGCGGCAACCGCTATTATCCTTTGCGCCGCATTTCATCTGAACATGCGCGCTGAGAAGGGTTACGTATGGTTTCTCAGTCCTTGGCTTTCCAAAAACTTCTGGGAATCCCCCGAAGTGGTCCCTCCTGAGTGCAGTGCCAATGATCTTAAAGTCATGCATGACTACTCCTTCAGTGTCTCCCATCCTCTTCACACCGGTGCTGTCACTCACTCCAATCTCATGACCTCCATGAGTGGACCTAATCGATCCTCCGAGACATCCAGTGGGGGTAGGTTTTTCTTTATTTTAAAAATGCGAATCCGTTTGATCGAGACTATTAGATATGATTTGGTGTTCTTGAAACAGATTTAGTGCTGTCTGTCGTTCAAAACAATAGAATTTGATATGGACTCTTTCCTTTCCCTTGTTTGCTTCTCACAGGCAAATCCGACATGCGAATTCGTTCGCATCAGCGCCAACTGTACGAACAATGCACTTTTGAGTCGGTGATAGTCCTCGGAAGTGCAATAGCTCGACTTCTACGTGAAAACCCCTCCGCTCTGTCGATTTTGAATAATCCCAAAATGGCTGAGTATGGCATTGCATGGGCGATTTCATACGCTTTTCCCTTTTAAAATGTGGCTTACTTCAGTTAGGCATTACATGTACAGTATACTTGGTTCTTCTGCATGCTTCATGTCATTTCAATGTGCGATACGTTGCCAATCTCAAGAATTACTTCCTATCAATGCTTATTACAGTGTTGAACTTATTCAATGTTTTACTTGAATAGCTTAATGTTCATTGCTCATTTTTAGGGTTCGTATCAGCTATCATGCCTCTACCATTATGTTTGTGTCGAACATTTTTTTTGCATGTTTGCTGCTCTTTTTTAGGACTGATGAGTTTTTTTCACTTGATTTCTAACATCCACCTGCAGTATCTGTTTTCATACGCACTTTTATTTTTTTTCATCAAATTAAACTTCTGAAGCGTTCGTCAATCGAAGAGTTATTTGCTCTTGAAAGGCGCCTACGGACGTTTGTGTCGAAAACTCACATGGAGTACTCGAGCAGGGGCTACCTGGACAAGAATGCAGTCTCCTTTTTCAGTAACAACGTGGACCAGTTAGGTGAGACCTTGGTCTATGAATTCGGCGTCACTCCACCCTCTCCACCCGCGCCGCCACAGACCTCACCGCCTGCCTATGACGAGGATCCGCTTGCCAGCACTGTTCATCAGCTAAGCTTTGATTCGCACAACGATCGTCTCCTGGAGGCGTGGTTGCTGAAACAGATTCAAGATAAAACAACTGTTCCCATTACTCTTTGGTCCTTTAATGGACCTCTTGGCGGAGATGAGGATGGCGAGGTTAGACATTCTACCCACCTCACCACTATTTCTTTGACTCCATAAAGTGTCTAGAACACAAATTGTACTCCTTTGTTATATAGTCAAATCTGCTGTCAAAAGAGAGGTTTCGACCGCATTCCAGCAGTGGTGGTTACTCCTCATCATCATCTCGAGGTGTATGGAGCGGAGGTAAGGAGAACGGAGAAGAGGGCGAGGACAATGGAGCAGAGGATAGCCGAAACGATGCGATTGCCTTCAAGACTTTTGTAGACAACCTCTTTGAGAAGCCTTACGATAAACCGCGCTGGGGTGGGGGCGGCTCTCTACGTCCCACTGATGGCTCCATAACTGAGGCTGATTGCGCCTTCAGCTTTCTTTCGCGCTGGTTTGGTGTCAGTTGTGTTGTTGGCAACTGGATATTCGCCATGGGCGTTCTTCTCATCATTGCCATACCCGTTGTTGCCATTGTGCTTGCCTACTTCCGGCGACGTCTGCGAGAGGCGGAAAAGCTCACTCGGAAGCCCTATGAAGAACTCTGTGCTCTTTTGGCTGATGTCAATGTGCGTCTCTCCGTTGACTTGAACGCTTCATTTTTTACCATCTCATTGAGGTTTTCTTTTCGTTTCCCATCCTAGTCAACATCAGTGTGGCTTTGTAACACACAAGCTGCTCTTATTGCTGCAATAAAGGTAGATTGGAGGAGTCTAGTCATTGATAACTGGATTATATTATTATTTGAAGTAACATTTGTATAATCTTGTACATTTGAAGAGCAGGTTACCTGCTCTAGAGAACCAGCCACTTTTGTAAATTTAATGGGCGGATGAATGTAAACCACTTCTCCTTAGCGTCCCTGATCTCTCTATTTTAAGCAGAGGCGACTCTTTGAGGTTCCTTATTTCCCTTCTACTCTCCCTATAATATAGGTGGTCCATTTTGTTCACAAATAACCGTTTTTCCGGTACAAAGTGGCTTCGAGCATGCCTGTCTTTTGCACAGATCCCATTAAGTGACATCGTTATCAATCGTCGAATTGGCGACGGTGCCTTTGGCTTGGTGTACGGTGGAGAGGCCAAATTTGCGGGTCGGTGGGAAGCGGTCGCAGTAAAGATGAACACCAACCGCACTACTTACGAAGCCAAGGTGGAGTTCCTCTCCGAAGCCAAGCTCATGCGCGATCTACGACACAAGAACGTGGTACGTCTAGTCGGTGTCTGTATGGACAGGCCACAGGATGAAATCTATCTCATTATGGAGCTCATGCTACTCGGTGACCTCAAAAAGTACCTTCTTGAACGCCGCCTCACTGCCCAACGGTATGTGACTCTTTAATCCCCTCAGATGTAACAATTTACCATTTTTTTTTGTAATATTTGGTACTTTCAGAACGGCGGGTTTATCGCTTTAATTATTGCTTCCGAAATTCTCAGGAAGTAATAAGAGCATTTCTGCTTTTACCTTGTATTAGGCAGTGTTGGAAGTATCCATTGAGTGAATGTACCAAAAAAATCTTTCCTCCTCATTTTTTTTCAGCAATTTCATGCCATTAAGTGCTCTACTCCTGAACATCAAATGCAGCAGAGTTCATTTAACTTTTTTCACATTCAATTTGTGAAATCGATTGGAGATAAGAATAAACTTATCTGCAAGGTGCGTGTTTTTTCGTGAGGAATTTTTTCCAGACGTCCACTTCAAGCACATGAAAGTCTACCTCTTCATGGTTCAACTGACTTAACAGCAGCTCACCATAATCCATCATCCACAACCATCCGTGGAAGACTTATTCTTTGCCAATTAACCACTCAGAGGTACTCGAGTTCCCACCATACTCACTGTGTAGTTCAACACCTAGTCTTGCATCAAACCGACCTAATGTCAAAGTTGTTTACTTTGGCGAGCCTCTTCACGCGCTGTGTACGTGCGCGCCAGTGCTCGTGCGCTTCTTGTGTGTCTGTAGCCGTTGTCACCTGACGCCCATTGGTGTGTGCTTGGGTGCAGTTGCATGAGTAGCAGTGACATGATCACTAAGGCGTCTGCTCCACCCCTTGCTGGCACTTGACTCATTGCTTTTCTTTTATCGGGAAGGCAAATTAACGCTTCTAGTCTAGGCTGCTTAGTGCTTCGAAATCCTGCGATCTTTACTTTGCGCAGGTTAGTTCGTTCTTACCAGTGCTCAACCCTCCATACCTCTCGCTTATGGTATTACTAATTCCTTTTAAGGCATAAGATGTATGGTGCGAATAGCGCGTCATCAACACGTGATGTACAAGCAACTTACGCGAGAAATTAATTGCTTAGTGTCGGTGTTTTTGGCACGAGCCGCCCGCCGTGCGTGCCCGTGCTAGGAATGACTATTGACCGAGCTACCACGTGAACAGACGCTCGCACACGCACCCTCCTGTCCACCACCAACTGCGCTAAAACCGTGACGCAGGCAACGGGCCCTGTTTCATCCCCCGATTGGTCTACCTCCATTTGTCTCCCGTTGATTGGCTCGGCGGTATCCCTTTGTCGGCTTGATTAAATGATGGTGATGCTGTTGCTGGTGTTGATTAAGATGACTGGCAGACAACTGCTAAAATTCTTGCCATGCTCTGGATTATCTTGTAGAACCAAGAGTAGTGCTACAGAAAGCAGTCATTTTTGAATGTTGAGTTCATGTTAACAGTTACAATTCTTCCCACAATGCCATAATTTAAGTCACTTTTCGCCTTTCATTCTGTGAAAATTCATCATTTTTCTGGGAGTTATTTTTTTTGTTTTTGTTGATTCCCCACATCATTCCTACATTGTGTTCGCCTGTGATCTCGTAGGCAACAATTTGTTCGATCCATGCCCCAACAGGTTCGTTATTTGTTCGATTGATTTTGGGTGGTGGATTCCTTGTGCCTCCTTGATCCTTAGCATCTTCCCCGCTCTTCTCTTCCTCCCCTCATTGCACATCTTACTCCTTGAACCTTATTTTTAAGTGGTTCTCATCACACAAAATGTGGCTCTGTTCCTGTTCATTCCAATAAGCGAAAAGAAACCAAATCAATGCTCGATGTATCACAGTTTCGTGCTACGGATATTGCAACTGTGCAGGTCTACAGCTTGCCCATTAAAATGATTGAATATCTCCGGGCAGCTATTAGTACTTAGTATCATTTCCATCTACTTGCATTTCCAGTTCATTTGCAGCCCTGTACTGTGTATGGATAGAACGTCTCGCTAACACTTTCTTCTTTCCAGATGTCCAGACCATGAGGACATTTGTCCGGCGACGCTGACTCGGATGGCGCTAGACATAGCCGAAGGGCTGGCGTATCTACATAGTAAACAGCTCATCCACCGGGACATTGCTTGTCGCAACTGCTTGGTGGGTCCAGATCACGTGGTGAAAATAGGTGACTTTGGACTGACTCGCGAGGCCACCGCGGGCTCGCCATACGGCTATTACCGCTTTACACGCAATGTCGAGCTGCCTATTCGATGGATGCCGCCCGAGGCAGTGCAATTCGGCATTTTTTCGGTTAAGTCGGACCTCTGGTCCTACGGCATCGTCCTCTACGAGATTATTACCTTTGGCATGTTTCCCTACGCCGAACTCGGCGACGTAGAGGTTGTTGAACGGGTCAAACGATCTGAATTCTCCATCACCCAGATCCTTCCGCCTGCTGCCAATGGAACTACTGTGTATGTCAAGGTCAAAGTCACACGGACGGTTCCCCATGGTCGCTAGCTCTTGCCTTCCACTTTTCTTTCATGCATTACACTTAAAGTTCACACCCGATTACTCTGCAGCTTGTTGCGAAGTTAACAACATTCATTGTTTCGACCATATCGTTAGTATTTTACCCCATTCAAAGCCTGGAAAAGATATCTTTAGACGCATGAAGGCCAATCATGCTTATGTCTTTAGGTTTTTTGGGGGCTTTTGAACAGCCTTTCCTTGATTTGAGTTGCGAGTTTTTTAAATAATTGCTTGCAACTTAATTATCCACTAGATACTTTCCGGAAGTTTAGTTTTCTGAGATACTTTGCTCTCCTTTTGGTCACTAGATAGCAACACCCTTTACCCGTCACTAGTGTTTACTCCCTGCTCTATTTTCAACTGGATTTCGCCCCTCTCGAAGTGAATTTTTAAATGAAGGTGGCCTTACTATGAAATTGAGCTATGGGTTGAATCACCACCATAATCACGTGTTTCTGCAAGTTTGCAAACTGTGGATTGTTTATTTATGCGCATGCACCAGAAAAGGTGACAGTTTTTTGGGAATTTTTTTCATGATTGTTAATGGTGCCTTAGTCTGCTGGCACTGCAGTTGACTTTTGCCTCATCTATTTTTGCGTTATGTCAGTTCGTGAAGGCATCAGTATTGTCAAATCGAAATGAAATCATTTTTCCCCCATCCAGGCAAATGCTACCTACTTTCTTGCAGTCTCCTCTCTGTCTCATCTCCTATTCAGGAAAAGTCCAATTTGTACATCTTGACATTGTTGTTGTCGTTGTCGTTGTTGATGATGGTGATGGCGGTGCCTGGGTGCACACTACATCTAAGTGACACGTATGTTAATCACAGGGCCACTGCGCCTGGCCAAGTTGGCAGTGCTGAAATTGCGAGGTGTTGGGTAAACTTGACTCCACTTGACACTGTCCGACGAAATGAAGATTTTCAGTGATCGCATGGCTACGCATTTGCCTCCCATTTTCCGAGTGTACCTAGTCACGGAGTCGCCTATTTTTTGGATCTTTTTGCGTACTTATCTCCATTCCAGTAAACGTTTTTGATCTCTTCTTCGTACGGAACTTCTTAAATGGTGCAATCCCTCTCCTTTGAAATTCTCAATTTAAACACTGATTCGTGACTTGATGACTTTTTTGATGCTTTTTGGCAAGTCTTATTTTTTTAGAACTATTTTTTTTTATCAGCTACGCATATCCGACTGTTTGCTCAAGCCTCCAAATTGTCAGCAGTGCCTCACCACATTTATGGTGGAAAGTGTATCTCAGATACCATGAGAAATCCACTGGACCTGTAAAATTTTATTGGCATGACTTAGATGTGCTGAAAAATGTAAAATAGGACTGAATGAGGCTTTAATCCGAAAATTTGTGCAACCCTTCAAACGACGTTTACTTAATGAATTCTGGAGGCAAAGCGATTACTGAAAAAAAAGTGTGCAGTATTGGTTAGAGAGCCATTGGCAAATTTATAACCGTTATGGTTTCATGTAGCCTTGGGCTAGGTGCTGACACCCTCAAGCTCTACTAACATCGTTTGACACTCATCCGATTGTTCGTTTCCTCGTATCATCCTAGCATGAATGATCAACTAAATTTTGTCACTTAAGTTAATTTTCGAGGGTTCTAAAGTACCGTTTCAAGTGGACAGTAATGAATGTGCTTGCAATAAGTTGCCCTTTTCAAATGGATAGGTGGCGCCTGATTGTGAGCTGCTGTCAGTACTACTGGCAACATCGTCCCGAGTCAATGCTTCAGGTCATAGAGGAGATACGGGCCAACGAGAATTGCATTCGACCCTACCTTACCGACGAACCACCTACTCTGGAGACCACGGCGATTCCAGTAAGACCTCACCCCTTTACTTGTGAAGCCCTTTAATCAAGCTCTCTTCCTCCCTTAATGAATGTGCATTCATTAGTACATTCCTCTCTTTGTACTCGGTAACGGTCTTCTGAAGTATTTTTTTTAATGCCTTATAGTTGCAGCATTATCCTATCCATCGTTGTCGACAATCCCACACTTAATGCCAAATTACCTAAATTTAGTTATTTTCACACAATATGTTGTTGTTGCTGCTGCTCTTACTATTATGCACTTTTTATGGCCTGCGTGGTCAGATAATATTTGTGTTGAGGTGCAATAATCGAATCGACAATGTGGCATTAAAGAAAACGATAAATTCATTTGAGACAAAATGCTGTTTTCTGCATAGGTTATGTCGCTAGCCTGGAGCAATTCCATGATCCTTTTCCAGCCTATATTTTAAACCAGCCATTTCAATCTCTCACACCTTGACTCACTAATACAAAAGAACTATCGTTTACTTCTGTCTCTTTCATGGGCTCTCATTCGAAGACGAAGCATTTGCCTTTTTTTCGCTTATCACCTCACTGGAGGTGTTTCTTTATCACCCCCTCTTCCACCTATGGTGGCACTCGCGTTGCTGACATCCAAGCTGTCTAGTGTAGTGAAAAGTTCGTAGTCAGTTCATTCATTTCTAAACCTTTAGCAACAAGTGCTGTCGCTCGACGAAATTCGATTCTTCTCATTAAATATCAAGGCCAGACTGTTCCTTCATTCATGTTCATTAGTATTGGCACCTCATGGAGTTCGTATATTTGATACCTGGTGTTCGACTTGAATAATCGCATTAATGTTGTAAACCGTTTGCTGGTTTATGTTACTAGTTCAGTACGCTTCATATCTGAAAAGCAGTCAAAATTATAACCCATTTCCGCAAAGCACAGTCCAATTTTTTACCAACAGACTTCATTGCTCTGATGAGCAATCTATTTTTTTGTACAAAATTAATTTTCGTGGAATATGTGATAGTGAACATTACTTTGGATAGTTCCTTCCTGGTCCGGGTGCGTGCATAATGCCAGAGCCACCGTCGGTTCCACAGCCCGCCTTCTCGGCACCAATGGGAGCACGTGCTTGGGTTGGCGGTGCGCCCTTTATGAATCCCTCTGCGCCCTTTACGGAGCCTCCCTCAGCTGGCGATGGGCCTCAGCGCTATACTGTAGCCAATAGCAGCAGTGCAGGCTGCGGCGGTGGTGGAGGGTGTAGTCAGAAGGTCTCTTTCTCCTCTGCCAACTCCTCCTCCTCTCTTACTTCCAACTCCGCCTCCTCTAGGCGACCCCACAACACCACCACAAGCATCGGGCAAACTCCGGTGAGACGTGCCCCACCTCCCACTTCCGTCTATGCGCCACCTGGACACCCCGGTTATCAGCCTACGGATGAATTTAATCCTCTCCTCAACCCCTCCAATCGGTAATATCTGTTGTCTTATTTTGTTGACTACTGTCTAAATTATGCTTTTCGAATTTCATTCATCGCAATTCATTTTGTCCTGGCTCATTGATAGAGGATGCATCATCATGGAATTACTCATCGTAAGATATAAATTTGTGCGTGCATTGGCAATGGTGCGTTAGAATAAAACTCGACAATCTATTCCACACCATTTGATCTTAGGAACTGACGCTGTATTTAATCTTCTGAAACTTCTCGAGGCCTTGTTAAGCTGCAGTTACTATGATTGTTTTTTTCTGATCGGAGGATGAATTTGCTGAACGTAATGCTTACTTTATGTTCTCTTTGAAGATCAATATCTCTGGAGTTCCTGCAAAAGTCCGACTTCCACCTCCAAACACCGCCGCTGAAGAGAGCGAACGACAGTGACGTCGAAGGGGAGTTAGAACGGATCGGCGAGAGCGGAGACGTTGACCTTCGACGTGAGATGGAGGAAGAGGAAGGTGAGACGGATTGTCGAGATCGCAGCACTACGCATCAGTGCACCTCCTGCCCCCAGAAACCCAGTCTTTTGAGTCGCAGTCCTTTCGGTGTTTCCATGGCTCCATGTAGTGGGATACGACGGCACCATCAGCATAGTGGGAACTTCTTTGCCCGCACATTTGCGGCTGCATTGGATCCGCGCGGTGGAACTGGGAAGTCACACTCACGACGACCTGTGGGAATGGCCTCCTTTCTGCGCAGCGATCAGTCATCCTCTATGCGAATGCGACTACTTCCCTCTCTTCGACATCATCACCAACAGCATCACTTTCACCACACTGCAGCTGCTGCCGCCTCTTCTTCCCCATCCACCTCGCGGAATGAACTCACTGCCAAATCTCTTCCTCAGGTGAGTAATGTCCACAATCGTCAGCATATCTGCACTTCTGTTTGAGCCTTCAATTATCGCTTTAAGTAGTACTCTTACTTCGCCTCATGGCATACGCATATTTAAGCATTCTTTCGAAATAGTTCAAACTCAATATTTTTGCTCCAAGGTAAGTAGCACCAACTGCCGCGCCTCAACAACAGTGTCGATGACGAAGGCGTCACGGCGAAGTGCATGTAGCTCGGCGGGAGACGCGCATTACTTGGCGCGGCCACCCCGACCTGCAGCTGCAGCTTTCTCCACTTCCGCCTCGGGATCAACCTCAGTAGCGGTGGCTGTAGGGTCACCTCGAGGTCAGCGACTGCCCATGGTGACACAAAACGGCGCCGCGGGTTTAATCACCTCCAGCGGGAGCAGTCCCACCTTCTCCTACCCGTCCCCACCCCCTCCGCCTCCACACAACTTTTTTGTCTAGAACGCGGCCCAAGTCCCCTGTATTCGAATGTCCACCTCTTCCCAATCCCCTTCCAGTATGACACCTCTTCTGTTTGATCTAATGTGTATTGAAGGGCCCTATCAGTGTCTGTGTATAGTCAAGGGGCTCTGCGCTGTACTATTGACCGAGGCGTTTGTGAGCGCTAACTTCCCTTTGCATATAATGTGATGATGGTAATAGCGATAACTTATCCGTATATATAATATACATATGTATGGCTAACTTAAAGAAGTGTGTTCGATTACAGTTTCTCCTGTCTCACCCAACAGCGAAAATGTTTTCAAAATGGTCTATGCTAATGCGCCTGAAGAGGCTTATATTTGTGGTCGCTAGGTGATGTTAGAGCATAAATGTTGCATAATGGTGCAGGTCTGATGCAACGCATTACTTCGCACGCTAGGTATTAAAACCTCGAATGAAGAGTGGTGCGCTTTGTGGGACAAGGTTTTCAACAAATAGCCTAGCTATCCTCCATCGCACTTTGAGAGAACTGCTGTTCCCTTTAGGGCAACACCTCAGACTCCGGATAGACCCATTGGAATGGTATCAAAGAGTTGTCATCATTGTGGTAGGAAATATCACATTTTACCCAATTTTAGAAAAGACATAAAGTAGTAGTAAAGATAAAGCAAAAAGGCATGATAAGTATGTGTAGTAAATAATAAAGAAGAGGGGGCGTCAAGAAGTTATTAGAGGAGAAGAACTAAGACTCAGGTATGTTTAGCCGTGGTGACTGAAATGCCAGCTCTGCGAGGGCGCACCATCGACACAAGGTCTTGGGACCGGTCGTTGACCATCAATGACATCCAGGCAGTAGCCTGTCTGGGCGTTAATCAGTTTCCCGTGAACCTTGTCGAGAAGGATGAAGAAAAAGTGCATTGTTAGCAGCGGAAGAACAGTTAGAGCATCAATGGTTGGGCGTGCTTTATGCTTCCAACTTAAGCATCAAAGAACAGCGGTGTTTTCATACATAGGTTATTGCTTTTTAAAAAAAAATTGACAAATTTCACGCATTGACCGCAATCATGAATGGGCTTCAGGTTTGCGGTTTGCGCATTGCTGACGAGGCAAATGAATAGCACACCGATTGCAATCCGTGCAGTTTTTAACGAGAATCAGCAGTCAATACGAGAGTACACTCTATCAAAGTGCTTGTAAACGAAGAATTAATGCAAGTTTGAAGAAAAAGCGAGGCTAGTAGGTCTTATGATTCTGATGGATGGAATGTGTGCGCACCTCCATTGCATGTTGCGGTGCCTTTTTTCACATGCGTATTACGAGTCTACTCACTCACTTAGTAGTAACGCATTAATTACGATTCGAGAATCCTTGACTTATCGAAGTGCGCTCCCACTATAAAACTACAGCATGAAATAAGAAAAAGTGCTTCAAAGTATACATTAGGGGCTGTTCAAGACGTTACACCCTCGCCAGGTGGACTGGCCTCTTGCATGCCCCTTCTGCACGTCAAAATGCATATTTTTCACGAGCGTGACATCTTTTCTTTCGCCTCCCTTCCAGACAATGAGCATCCCGATTTTCCTCCTCAAGCACCACACTGAAGAGTTGAGACAGAAAGATGCAGGCAACTACCCCAATCTCGCGGTATGAAGAAGAGAGTTGACAACTGAAGCGTCATTCATCGTGGTCCAGACAAAAAAAAATTATTACGAGGCTAAGTACGTTGCCCAAGATAAAGGTGTCCCCTAATTGAACATGCAACATTAGCCATACCACATGAGAAGAGCCGAGCTGGATATGGTTGAACAGCTCTGGAGTGAGTACAAAGTGGCAAATAAAAATTGAGCCAAAACTCTATCCCCGCGACAATATTTTTAATTCTAGCCTCTGTCATCTAATCCTACCCCAGAAACAGTGAGATGGACTCGTAACAGGAAGGCCATTCTCTTTTCTCAAATCCAAACCACAGGTTTGGTAAAAAGTCAATGAGGAACTAATGACGTTGTCAGGGAAAGAGGGACTATGCAATACTTTTGGCGGAGGAAGACTCAGATGCACTACCATCTAGCCTTCGGAACTAGGCCAGTAGACAACGCCCCTTCTGCATGACGACAATACATAATTTGCCCAAGCATATGTCCTCCACTCCTTTGAGGAAGGCTCGGGGAACCATAAAAATGCTTACGACATAAATTGTAACTCCTGAAGCCCTGAGAGAGGGTTTTATGACAGAATCTAAATTCTTACAGACACTTGCCAACTTCTACCAGAATACAAAACTGTTAGAGCTTGTTCATTAACACTGCACAAGCACCAAATCGGATTAGCCTTTCACCCAGAGTGAGTAGCATGAAAACCACGGATCCCAAAATTCAATAGATGCTGATAGACCTGATGAAGTTGAGCAAAGTCAAGCATTTGTCCAATTCAATTGGATTAGAGGAGAAAACTACACTAGCATTAAAGAAAGGCAGGCATTTTCGCCATACACTTTTGTATCTAAGCGGAGGATGTAAGGTGAATCATGGAGACAACCCGCATAAACAAAGAGCAAAATGAAGGTATCGCATATGAACCTCACAAAACAGTCACATCAACATCTGCCATATTCGGAACAGCCAGTAGGAAGCACGGGTTACTAACGCCTTCGCAATGGTGATCCCTTTCAAGTCAGCATCAAGCACACATCCTCGTCTGCCTCAAGTGCATGGAGCGTAAGGAAGTCATCAGTAGAAGTCTATTTTCAGTTATAGCCTCAATTCATATTCCTCGCCAGACGAATCATACATTTTTCAAATTCTTCAGCACTATTGAGTAGTTCGAAACGAATTCGTAATTTGGAATACAGGCTGCAGTATGTACAGGATGGAAGGTCTAGTTGACAGCTAAAAGTAATAGATGAAAAGGATTTGGTCCGAGGAGATGCAATAACTGAGACAGTCCTCTTGTGACAGTAAATAGCCACAAGGAACTTGACCTTACACTGAGATGTAGAGGCATGAAATGAAGGTCACAGTGGCAACAGGATGGTTGCAATACGAACGAAAAAAAGACAACAAAAGAATAACACAAGTTAGTTAGAAATACACTGATTTAAAAAAATTGATGCCTATTCGTTGCTACGCCATTAAGTCGAAATCTCAGCATCTTCGCAACAAAATGTTTAGTTAAAGAATTATCCAAGCGTTCTAACGAGTCTCGGAGTGGAAATATTCACCCATAAATCAGCGACAACTGCTTGACAAAACTAAATGTCCCAGCCTAGCGTCAAGACCTGGCAGAATAAGAAAAAGTAGTTCCGTCTTCATTCAGTCAAACATAAACTTGTGAAAGGCAAACGAAATCGTCACTAAGAGCCCACAGTTCAGTTCCCCCGAATTTGTGGAAAACACTGTGAACGTAAGCAAACAAGAGTTTCATTAACAGACCAACTGGACTACTCCTTTTAGAAGACGTGTAGCATCTAGACCTCAAGATTCACTTAGAAATTACTCATTACCGTACAACTCAGAGAAAATCGTACCGAGGAGTTCAGGAAGTATGCACCATTTCAAACCTTTAATAATAGGCTAAAATGCACATATCCATAAGCTAACCTTATCGAGAATCCATCGAAAATGGGCATTCCGTTGGCTGGTAGTGGTGACAGCCTGGAAACCTTGTTCCGGATCCTTTGCCTGAAGGTGCTCGATTCGTTTCATCTGTTCAGCGATCCAGTCGCGCCACCACTCCCGCTCCAAGGGAGCCTCCAGCTCCTCTGGCGGACAGAGCTCGAGGTCAGTGATGAGTTCCGTGAACACCCAGAGGGAGACTATCGGTCCGCCTGACCGCCGTAAGCGCACGCAGTTCCAGTCCTTACGCAACAGACCCGTGTCTGTCAGAGCAAAGAGGTTTTCCCACATATGCACAGTCACCTGTGATGAGGTGACCAGTAGACTCATTTGCTGCTTCCGATACTCGTTACCATCATTGCCTCGCAAAAGACAGTGGTTCTCTGCATTACAGCACTGTGTGAAGGCAACATTAGGGGAGCAACAAAAGTGAAAATGAACGCACATAGGCAAAGACGTGCCACCAAAATTGACGCATCGAACAATAGGTAGTACAGAGAGCAACAACACCCCAAACTGACGGCACTCCATAGCCAACGGTTAATTTAATGAATGGGAAAGGGAAGTTTTGTTACCAAAAAAGATGGAAATTTAGTTTTAAAAAGGATCCTCAGTTTATAGTAGCGCTGTCGTATTCTGTCATCCAGATGTGGCCAAATGAATCTTTACTTCCGACTCAGAAAGAAACGGGAAGCAGTTGATAAACCGTATTTTCAAATCTTGATTCAAAGATGTTTGCTAGACAGCAAAAAAGAGTGAACGGGAATATGGATTTGCCAACCAACTCTACACAATTACAGTCTTTTAGGAGACCATGCTGACAATAACCCATAGAATGGACTCAAGCTCGGAAAAAAGTGGATATCAACCAACCTAAAACTCGTAGGTTTTATCTTCTTCTGCAGGCCATACTCCTCATTATTCATGAGTATTTACCAATGAGAAAAGTATAAAAGACTGGGGAGCACAACCACAAAACACAAACCACACACAACACACACACAACCACAAAACATGAGCGATAAATACGCGTTTATCAATCAATGATGAAAACAGCAATCTAAAAATACTTTTGCTACACAAATACCAAACGGTCGCTGACAAAAGAACATCATGTTGTTGTAGCCTGGTGGGTCTGAAACTCTCTACATCACTAGTCACCTTTCACAAGAAGAAACTAATAAAAAATGAACAACTACGCAATCTAAAGCCAAATGTCATAAACCTAATGCAATTAGCCATACATTGAGGGTCATAACACCCTCTCAGTAAGACCGTAAGCATGTTATGTCTCCACAATAGTAGTTCATAGAACATGGGCTCGTGCTAAATTTGGTGATACCTTTGTACCACTAAAGCCCATTGGTATCCCTTTGCCGAAAGAGGATGATTACACATTAATGCCTAGGCGAAATGAAAGGTGTTGAAGGGCCTAAGACACTACGGTAACATTAGAAGTAGAGATCAAAATCATAATCATGCAAGGGTGTTGATATCGTTACGAACAATGCTTTAGGGAACAACGCAGATAAGATTGTTTAACAGTACCAGCGATACCAACTGTTGACTGTTCCAAAGATGATACCGGTTTATCTTGCGGCAATTATACGCTGAGAGGCGACTCTTCATAGAGGCACAATAAAGAATACAAAGAATGTCGCAAACACGACCACTGTATTAGTGGACTATTACCTTACATTAAAAATTGGCTTATTATGGTTTTGTAAAGTGAGTTCGTAAACACTAAACCCCATTTTTCTAATAGACAAGAAAGTGTATCAAACCTTACGCTTCCATATCCAAGCCGATTTCTGGAGTAGACAAATTTGTGGGGAGCAATGTTATCAAGAAACCACTGGAAACTCCTGCAGCCTAGATCAGTTCGAAGTTTCTTTCGTTCAGACACATTGCCGTAATCCATATTCTAAAGCAAAAAAAAACGGAAGATTGTATTGTTTTGTAGCCAACGGGGCGGTGGCCCATGGTGACGCAGCTCCAACCATAAACACGAGCGTCGACAAATGTAATGCATACCGGACACGGACGTGCATTGAAATCGCGACACCTTACGGCAGCGTGAAGCTAACTTATCGAAGCCTCGTAGACTATGTTTCAAAGTTTCCTAGTTCCTGCTATTGGAAGTTAATCCAAAGTAATCCCTCCTTACGTCTTCAAAGACAGTGAAGCGAAAGGAAATCATTTAACTGTATAAAATGAGGTGTTTGCAATAAGACCTTAGCTTTGTTGCGTCAGAAAAAAGCCAACAGCACAACATTTTCAAGAAACCTAACTCCGCAGAAAATGAGGCTTGTACGAACACATCAGGCAGCGACCGCACCTTCTGTTAAAGTCGTGCATAAGAAGATTTCCTAGAATTTGTCCTAAAAACAGATGGACGTGCATGAATTCAGAAATATTTTGCGTTTCTCTAGTATCTAATGCAATGAGCAGCTTTAGCAATTTTAGTAGAAACGGAGGCGATTTGAGTGAATAGTGTATGGTGAACGCCTGTCTCGAAAAGAGCGAGGCTGAGTACTTACTTTTATGTCACCACGAGCCAGATGGAAATTCTCCTTGTACATGTCCATCCACACTTCAGCCATCCGAGCAATATTGTGCCCGTTGTAGTCCTTGTTGCCTACAATGACACAAATTTAATCCATCAGGTAAGAGATATAATGCCTTCAATATGTCCCAAAAAAGGCAATATCAGTATGCACATTTATTGGAGGCTATAGCTCCTACCGCAAAGAAAAACAACTGCTTTCGAATAAGTAACGCTAAGGAGTAGGAATTCATGAGACCGTCAACAAATGTCGAAGAGGATTCTCAAACATAAGTAGCTATTGACAAAGAGATGGTGGACCTTCAATATTTGTGAGCAAGTAGCGACGCCATAAATAAATGTGATGAAAGGTGATATTGCACTCACTAGGAAATGAGTATGGATGGATGGCACGATAAACATGTCCGACAGTCGAGCAAGGAGAAAACTCAAGTGAGCCGCCGCACTGCCAAATACGAAATGACAACTCCAAGTTCTCACCGCCCCAAATCTCCATTCCGTCATCATAACCCCCCAGCTTGAAAAAGTAGTCCCGACACATGGCAAAAAGACCACCAGGCATAGTAAGCGATTCAATGGTGTCAGCGTTGCTCTTTCGCTTGACCACAGAGCTGCGAGGTGGATGCTCAAACACAAACATTCCGTCCCAAGCGAAGGAGCCCACGCGAAGACTAAGCCAACCATCCTCAGTATATCGAACATCAGTTCGAAAGACCTTTAGCGTGAATCTGTCGATATTTGCTATAGCAGGGCAAACGACTGCATCCGGTTTCTGCCAAATCCGATACAACAGAGGTTCCAGCCAACGATAGGTCACTTCACAATGAGCATCGAGGATAACAATGACGTCAGCTGTTGCGGCCTTGGCACCCTCAATACGAGCCCTGATCAAGCCTGTGCGTTGAGGAAGTCGAACAATTCGTACAATTCCATCCGGCCAAGTATTCTTGACAAAGGTGTCTAGGTTATGAAGCAAATCGTCTGGTTCTCATTATAAAGTAGAAGAGCATCATACTTTGTGTGCTCCCATCATCCAAAAGCAGAACTTCTTTCAACAATGCCGGTGGACTGCGATTCACTATTGAAAACACTGTTCGAATAATTAATCGAAATGGTTCATTAAAAAATATTAATATGACACTCGCAGTGGGAAGTTTGTCAGGATAGGTAATAGCAAGGCACCTAAAGATAAAATATCACAAAACGCAGACATACTCCTTTGCTGGGCGATGACCAAGTGAACGATCAAGCGCAACCAACTTGCATGCATGGCTGTTATAACCATCTACAGCGTTGATGCGATCCATTTCTTCATTAGATATGTGTGCATCAACTCCACGTCCCAACTCACCGGGTCCAGAACGAAAGCGTTCACTTACTACGTACGTGTTGAAGCGCTGTGCACGAAATGCATAGGTATCAGGATCAATTGAAAGCGCTTTCAGAGTTCCTGGGCTTGCTGTGGCGGGAACTCGAGGATCCTCACGAAGGCAGAAGAAAAGAATTACGTATATACAGAGAGCAAGCAGGACATGGGCGAAGAGTGAAAGCCCTCCACAGCAGCGGCTGCACAATAAGAACACACGAGAACAAGTTGGTCTAATACCCAAGGAGTTGGATCTCTAAAAAAGAAAATCGATACCCACGACAAAACGCTGCGAACAAGGTAGCCACCATAGTGCCAACACGCCTATGAAACCTTGTCATTGATGAAAGTAGATCAGTTAGTATGATTGCCTTATTATGTTGGACACGCTCGACCAAAACAAGACATGAATATTGACATGATAAAATTTAACCAGGCTTGTCATCAAATAAGCGAAACCCAGCATAAAAGCTAAAATACAAAAGCGACCCATCTGTTAAAGTTACAACGACATGCAGTGAGAATTAGAGATGTAAGCAAGCATCGAATCACGTTAAAAAGCCAGGACCGACACAACCAGCCTCTCAAACAGTTCGGCAATCCAATTTTACCTTGAAACGATTCATTCAAACAAAAAATAAGCGCTTTAGTGCACATTGTCTCATACTAATAGTATTTCTTAAAGTGTGTAAATCGTTTAAAAAAGCTTATTTCCAAAAAATCAGAGCAAGCAAATTATAATTGTTTAAAAAGTGCTAAAGTTTAAAGGACTGTGCACTTGCGATTTTAAGGAGAACTGGCCGAAAATATCAAAATTTAAGGTAGATAAAACAATGATATAATAGACTATGTGTCTTAAGATATAAGAGTTATGCATACCGATACGTTTAGTTTGGTTATAGAGAAGAGAGATGGAAAGAAAAATGCCTTAGAATCCACCACGTGAGGAGTGTAAAGGTTTCTTAAGCTGACGTAGTGCAATTTTTTACACGAACCTTCTCCGGATGGTTCACGGCAGTATCGCTTCGTTTGCTAATAGCTCGTCTGTGGAACACAGGAATAAGAAGAAACCATATGCAGACGTCGGTCCCAAACCATTTATTGTCAGGAGTACAAAAAGTCTCTACCACCAATGCAAATGCGTTTTTTCCACATTGTAGGTACACGCAACAAATGGTACGTGCTAGGAGAGAAGCCACTGAAAACATGTCGCGTTTGATTTCCGTTGTCACCGGTATAGCTCCCCATGACCTTCCATAGGATGTAAGAAGGCAGTGAGTGAGGCTGAATACATGTATTCCGAAGGAGCCAAAGCAAATGGGCCTGGGCATGGCCCGTAGGCCAGCCCACGAGTACAAGGGCCGGACAAATCCTAAAGTGATCGTCAAACGTCAGGCAGTCGCATAAACAAAGCATTACAATGCTCAGGCCTTATTCCTTCCTTAAGCTTAAATAAACGTTTTTTAGCACTGCTTACTTCCTTCTACGCTGGTTAGTCTCGCGAGGCTTCAGTCTTGTCTCGAGGCTTCTCACTAGGCTGAAGAAGGCATTACGTTAGTCTGAATATGCCTATTACAAAAGGATATTAAGAATCTAACCTTCGATCTGGTTCGAAGGCCAGCCCACGGGTATAAGTGCAAAGGGAATACCAAAGTGACCACCGGATATAAGGCAGTCAAAAACTAAAGTATCACAAGCAAGATCTTTCTTCTTTAAGAATTCAGTACGCTTAAGAAATTTTTGAACTATAATTATTACAACATTGTACGCTTTTAAGTTCCCGTTTTGGCACTTTCTAACTCTTATTTTTAAGACTTTATCAAAAATAAAAAAATTCGATTCTAAAAATTTCAATTTAGCTCTTAGCAACTTTTATTTTGCTTTTGCAAATTTAATCAGATTATAGGTAAAGTATTCTGAATCTTTGTCGTAGTGCGCTGCAAAACGAATCTTGTTATAAGTGCTTTTGTGGCTCCCGCTCTGTAAGAATTTGCGAAGTGTTGCTGGTTTATCGGGATGTCTCAGTCAATGGTTTCAAAGAAGAGAAGAGAATTTATTGGTCTCTCCGCACCGTTGGGCTACGTTGCTGGTGTTGGCCGTGGTGCCACTGGTTTTACGACTCGTTCCGATATTGGTCCAGCAAGAGAGGCCACAGATGTTTCAGACGAACGTCACATGGCTCCGTCCAAGCGGAAAAAAGAGCAAGAAAAGGAGGAGGAAACCGAAGAAGACCTTAATGAATCAAATTACGACGAGGTTATTTTTCGTCGTTAAACTTATATTTTGGTTATTATGGATGTCCTTTTTCCTATTTGCAATTCTTACTGCTATGGGCCGCTTCAGCGATGTCACACAAATGTGAATGTCCTAGCATTTTGGATTCCTTGTCTTTTATTGCATGAATTCTACAAGCTTTTATGGGTTTTTACTTTAACGCAATGCTCAGTTTATCATTTAACCTTACTTAAGTTTTCATAAACCATGTTTGTTTATTTGAGAAAAACGTCCCCGGGATTACATTGGAGCATGCAACAATTGTGTTTAAGCGAATCAAGTACCATAAGTGAATTTGATGCTTGCAGTCGTAAAGTCATGTTGTCGTTTTTTGTCACGCATTTACTAAATCAGTTCACAGGTTATGGTGGCAGCATTTGCTCAAAAGATCCCTACGAAAAGGATGATGAGGAGGCAGATGAGATCTACGCCTCAATCGATGAGCGAATGGATGAGCGTCGCAAAACTTATCGTGAAAAGCGCGAAGCCGAAGAAATTGAGCGCTATCGAAGGGAACGGCCAAAAATTCAGCAGCAGTTTGTTGACCTTAAAAGAGAACTAGCAAGTGTGTCAGAGAGTGAGTGGCTTAGTCTCCCCGAAGTGGGCGACTCACGCAACAAGCGTCAGAGGAATCCTCGAGCTGAAGTCTTTACGCCTGTCCCGGATAGCATTTTGGCTAAAGGACTTCAAGATTCTCAGGTTGGTACTTATTTTAAGGTTTAATACAAGATGAGATCGCATTCATCGTACTGTATTACTTGGCTTTCTTCAGCATCAATATTACGGCTCATTATGAGCTATAAATCACTACTTTTCCATTGTACAATAAATAGGGTTATTCGATAGACGAATTACTTTGCGCTGTTTTGGCAAAATCTACTGAGGTCCATTGAAACAAACATATCTTGCATTTATCGGACCTGGGTCTCCAAAGTCATCCTGTAGACAAGTTGGTGTTTTTTTCAAAAGTTTCCTTCTTGCTTTGCAGATAAACACAAAATTGGATCCAACAGAGCAGCTTCTGGGCGGATTGACCACACCTTTTGGTGCTCAAACGCCCACAGGTGACATTGACATGAAAAAAATTGGACAGGCTCGCACATCGTTGATGGATATCAAACTTAATCAGGTACCTTTTTAGAGCCACGATTCGCTTAGCCGTACTTCAAGTTAGTTTTCCGAATATGGCCCCAGATCCGTCCGTGGAAAATCAGTTTTCAGCTTACTTTTTCCCCACTTAGGTATCAGACAGTGTGTCAGGCCAAACAGTAGTGGATCCAAAGGGATACCTTACAGACCTGCAGTCGATGATCCCACAGTATGCAGGCGACATCAACGACGTGAAGAAGGCCAGACTACTTCTCAAGTCAATGCGTGAGACTAATCCTAAGCACCCACCTGGTTGGATCGTCTCTGCGCGGCTTGAAGAAATCGCTGGTAAATTACAGGTAAGTCCATTTTCCCGGTCCAACCCATTTCCACAATTTATGATTCTGTATTAGCGTTGAAGATGGCATGAAATACGTAGAGAGGCCAATCAAGTATGCTTTACTTGAAAATGACGGCCTGAAATCGGCGCCGCTGCCGATTTTCGGATATACTCATAAGGTACTTGTAGTTCGATATGTACTTAAAATAATCAAAATTTTTTTTAATGCCACTTGGCCGCTGCTTCCAGAACTTGTCATTTATCTGTAAAAGGTTCTGGTACGGGACTAATGGCCTCAAGGATGGAATTACATTCCTTTAGGAGGCTCACACTTGAGCTGCCCAATTTATATCGGTTGTGTTGATGTTACAACGCAGAAAACGTCTACGGCTGTCTTACATTAGGTCGCGCGTAACCTAATAATGCGAGGCTGTGAGAAATGTCCCAACTCGGAGGATGTGTGGTTGGAAGCAGCTCGCCTCTGTCCTCCTGACCAGGCGAAATCAATCGTTGCACAGGCCATCACTCACTTACCTCAGTCAGTTGGCCTCTGGGTCAAAGCCGCCAACTTGGAGACCGAGCTAAAAGCCAAGAGGACTGTCTTTAAGAAAGGTGGGTAATGGGATATTTTTCGTTTTCAAATTACGCGAAGGCTTTAAGTTGATTGTGTTTGCGCTTGGCAGCGCTAGAAAGTGTGCCGAATTCGGTGCGACTGTGGAAATTGGCAGTTGAGCTGGAGGAGGAGGAGGACGCGAGGGTAATGCTTAGCCTGGCGGTGGAATGTTGTCCTACGTCGGCAGAATTGTGGCTGGCGTTGGCGCGACTGGAGACCTACGAGCAGGCTCGAGTGGTCCTCAACAAGGCCCATGAGCAAATCCCTACAGAGCGACAAATTTGGTTTGCTGCTGCCCGCCTAGAGGAAGCAAACGAACAGTGCGCTCGTGTAGGCAAAATCATCGATGCAGGGGTTCAGTCGCTTAAGGCCAACATGGTGGAGATTAATCGCGATGAGTGGATCAAGGAGGCTGAAGAGTGTGAGAAGGCCAAGTCCATTCTCACTGCTCAGGCTATCATGTTGGTTGTTTCCATAGTTTTTTTTCTGCATGTTGAATAGATTTTGCTGACTCAGCAGCCAGGGATAAATTGATTCATTGCACGGATTGGCTTCCTCTATTTTGTATTTAGACGAAACTCATCCGAATCATTTGTGCAATTATCCCCATTCCATCATTCCAGGATCTGATATAAGTATAGTTTTAAGCCAGCTATTTGATAGTGGATTGGGAGCTGTTGCCATCAGTTTATTTCACTCATTTTTTTCTTTTGACTAAATCTGCGTAAACCTCGGGTGTTCCACTTATGTTACCACTAAAGTGTTCGCTTATTATTTAGAGTACGAACAACAATCATTTTCTCGTCTTTTCACAAACGCTTAGCAGACAATGAGACCAAAGCGACCCCTTGTCGTTTCATTCTCTGATACATTACCGTAATTATGCGATGATAGAAGTTAAGACTGAAATTATGCTTCTCATGTCAGGCCGCGTTTGCATAGTATGGGCCTTACCACTCCACTTCACAATCGGTCAATCTTATTCTCATCTAGCAAAGCTATCATCGGTCACGGAATAGAGGAGCAGGACAAGAAACACACGTGGTTGGCAGACGCGGAGGCGTGCGCAACAAACGGAGCAATCGAGTGTGCACGGGCTATCTACGCCGTGGCACTGGCCCAATTCCCCAAAAAGAAGAGTATCTGGCTGCGCGCTGCCTACTTTGAACGCAATCATGGTACCAGGTATCCTCGTTGTCCTCTCTTGTACCACTACCGATGCAATGACAGCAGAGTATTTGTTTTAATGAGCACTTGCAAATTGCATTTTCATCCATAGCCTTTAATGCTCAAATTACCCTCTTTTTTACTGAAGGGAAACACTGGAGGAGTTACTGGACCAGGCAGTAATGCACTGCCCTCATGCGGAGATTCTTTGGCTCATGTCTGCAAAGTCGAAGTGGCTCGCTGTAAGTCAATGCTTACGGAAACCACCCCTCCTCATTTGGGCTATCAGCGTAAACATACTTTTGCTAGTTGGTTCGTGTGTTAGTTCTCATTTTTTGTGAAGAGCAAGGAGGTATGGATAACTGAAAAAAACTAATAAAAATTAAGAATTTAGCAAATCAACTGGCTTGGTCCCCAATTCTCAGCGTTTGTATTTGGTACTAGCTTACTTACTTGCAATGAAATGTCTTTTTCTGTTTACATCACGCACAACCAGAACCACAGACTGAGCTCACTTATAAGGCTAGGTCCAGGTGAATTTGTGGCGACTTCAAATAAATTGGAGGTCAGATGGGACCTCTGGTGTCTAAAAAGTTCAGGAGCATCACCGACATTTTTTGCATTCAGTTATACATGACACTTGGAACAGTAAAAAGTACGATGAATAACAAACTCATCATTTGTGGAAATTGTTTGTTAAATCACCTGTAAATTTACGCCTGTGGATGTGCATTTCCCATTCGTTTTAAGTTGTGAAGAATGTATAGTAACCAGTATTTGAACCCATCAAATTATTGCATAAAGATGATAATAGTGACTCAGTTGTGGACAGACGTGTGCCCACCTGGTGATGTGCTCCTACCTGTCTTTCAGGGTGACGTGCCAGCAGCGCGGTCGACACTAGCAAATGCTTTCCAGGCGAATCCCAACTCAGAAGAAATCTGGCTGGCGGCGGTAAAGCTAGAGTCGGAAAATTCAGAGTATGCACGCGCACGTCGCTTGTTGGCGAAAGCACGTTCCTCCGCGCCAACAGCGCGAGTGTGGATGAAGTCGGCGCGTCTCGAGTGGTGTCTTGGTGACCTCGGCGTCGCAGAGCAAATGCTCGAAGAGGGCTGTGCCAAGTATCCCCTTGAACCCAAACTCCACATGATGCGTGGCCAACTGGCCGAACTTCTTGCGAAACAGAAACCTGAGGAGCACGAAAAATTCCTTGAACAGGCGCGTGACGCCTTTCGTGAAGGGGTATGCTCTGTTCTCGTCCTATCCTTTACTGCTCCCTTGAATTCTTACTCTTAGGGAGATGGGAAGCTACGTGTGTACCGTCCGATAATGAGAAAAGTTTTGTCAAACTGAATCGCAAGCAATGTAATCCCTTGGTCTTCTATGCAAGCAAAACAAAACGCAATTTTTTTTCCAATCAGTCTATTCTTGAAATCATCTATTTATGTATGATATGTGATTGTACTCATTACTGAACCGAATCATGCACTATAATGGTTTAGCCAATGGTGATGTTCAAGAAAGAATATCGCGTGATACATCATGCACCTACTGCTTTTTGTTGACAGACAAAGGAAATTCCTCACAACACTACTCTGTGGATCCTTCTCTCAAGATTGGAGGAAAATACAGGAAACATGACGAAGGCCCGCTCTATCCTCGAGAAGGGGAGGTCCAAAAACCCCAAGGAGCCATCTCTCTGGTGATTTTGTCGCTTTGAAACCCTGTTTCTCAGAAGTGATAACTGGATGTCTTTGCTATCGTTTTCATTCTACCTAGGCTGGAGTCTATTCGACTGGAGATGAGAGCCAACTTGAAGCTTGTGGCGGAATCATTGCTCTCCAAGGCTCTTCAAGAGTGTCCGAATGCGGGGTGTTTGTGGGCGGAGGCTATTTTTATGACCACCCGACCTCAGCGCAAAATGAAGTCAGTCGATGCGTTAAAAAAGTGCGAACACGATCCCCTTGTCCTCCTTGCTGTCTCAAAGTGAGTTATCATCCTCCTCTTTTGTTCCTCTCCTCATGGTTTCACCGTCTTGATCTTTCTCACCGAAACACAGAATGTTTTGGGCGGAGCGATTAACTTCGAAGGCTCGTAGTTGGTTCATGCGAACCGTAAAGCTGGAATCCGACCTGGGAGACGCATGGGCCTACTTTTACAAGTTTGAACAGCTTCATGGGACTGAAGTGAGTCCGCTTTTCATCTGATTCTTCTGCAGCGCACTTGACGAATAGTTTAGTTTTTTGTGATAGTGCTTGCCCTTTTTGTCTCCACCGTAGGACCAGCAGAAGGAGGTACTGAAACGGTGCATAGCGGCAGAACCGCGCCATGGCGAGGCATGGTGTAGAGTGAGCAAAGACTTCCGTAACTGGCGGCTTCGCACTGCTGATCTCCTGCCATTAGTTGCTAACTCCCTTCCCTTGCCTACTTGATGGCTCTCTTCGCCTTTTGCCTCCTCATTGACTCAAAGCCTACTGGTATTCCATTCCCCTGTTCTAAGTGAGCTCGCTAACGGTCACTTTTTGATGCAATTGTCTGCGTGGCTGACTACACTCGTGTGATGAACAAAGGAAAACAGGCAATCTTGTCTCATGCAGAATGTCGACAACTTGCGTTTAGGGAAGAGATAGCTGGGAAGTTGAGTGAATGCAATCTTCTAGTTAGTTTGTTACTATTTCTGTAGGCATTTTGTGTAGCCCTCACAGTGTCCAATACTTTTGGAAGTGAGGTCGGAGGGGACGAGCGGACAAAAACACTCATGATTTAAGCCAGACTATTGGGGCTCCACAATTAGCAAGAAACAGAAAACAAGCTGATTTGATAATACTAGCGACTCTGATAGGAGAATGGAGACCTGTAGTTGTGTCCCGTAACATTAGTCTGGAAGCACTTGCTAGAAGCTGTAGTGTAATAGTTTTTAGGCAACAGGCTTTCAATACCTCAGGGACGATGTTTTGGTTTAGCGTAGCATTGTTACTCATGTCTTTGGTACTTAGTACAAACAGCTGTCAAAAAAGGACGGAAGGAAATACGGCAACGCGACGGAGGGAGAATGGGTAACTTTATATGGCGCCGTATGAGGACGTGGGAGTGGCGGCGGTTTCTTCACCTTCGATGATGTCGCTATTTCCCTGCGAGTGCACTCCATTGGGGACGTCAAATCCCGGATACCCATCGTCGTTGTCCACCTCGTCACTACCAACCTCGCTTATGAGAGGCTGTGTGGCCTCGGTGCCATCGTTAAGGTGAGGACCCCAGCGCTGACTGGCGTAAACGTAGATCAAACTGCCCACAACTGCCAATATTGGCAGGAAGAACGGAATGAAAAGACGATAGAACACGGGCGTTGAGGCCACAGGCGGGATCCCAAGAGCCATTATAAAACTCCTACGAGTGGATTAACAAGTCGTTTTGGGTGCGTGTTTAAGCTCGCACTGCATCTGGAAAAATACACTCCTTGGGTCTAAAATTTAATTTAAGCAGCATCTATGGAGTGCCGCTCTACAATCGAATATGCACAGACATTCGATAATTGAAGGTCAAACAACTATATCCATCTAGCATTTTTAACCACTTCATCGTATGACTAGGAGATCGACCATTTACAAGCTAATGATGCATTTTTGTGGACTTAAAAGTACGTATGGTGGGCTTTGGCTTTGATCATAAAAACAGTCTCAAAAATGCATGCACAATTCCCAATTGTAACGATGCGCAAGTTCACAAGATATGGGAATCATTCCCCTTTAGTGCACTACCTTCATACCTCCTGATTACCATTAGAACTGTAATTCCGTCATTGCACCGATAGATAGGTGAGTGACGAGAAGGCTATTTGAAAGTTGCATAGCTCACCAATCAGTGTAGTTGGTTTTTGCGAAGAATCCATCACCCGGACTGCCGAAGCCAAGCCACTCACTCACGGCAGCAACAGTGTCATTATCGTGCAAGTGGATGTTAAACCGCTTGAAACCGAAAACGGCCTGAGGGAGGGAGCGATTAATGTGCCTATTGGGCTTGTTGTGCCGCTTTGGATTGCTCTGAAAGCTCACTACGCGTCGTCCTGCGCTCCATCGATTCACCGGATCGACAAAGCACACGTCCCTCCAGAAGACGTAGGCTGGTGGCATATCAACTTCATCTCCTGCTTCCGGAGGCTCACGCTTGTTTAGGAGAACAACAGTCGACTATGGAGAATAAACATTTCTTTGTTGTTCACGTCAAATCAACTAGAAGGCATTGATGATGATGATGATGATGAAGGGGAGGGGTAGGTGACATGGGTATTTTGGCCATAATGAAGGAGTAAAGCAGTCCACTAGTGTCAAGCTGGGTGGATGGTAAAAAGCCAACTCACCAGGAAGTTCCCAACCTCTTCCTCGACACCAAAGTCGAACAAGCTTTCCTGGTGGAAGGCCTGACCAGGATGAATGGTTTCGTTGGTGTAAATGAGCATGCCAATACCTAGACGTCCGTAGGACTTTTCCAAGGGTCCCATAACCTCCATACGAACTCCAAATCCACGCACCACGGGAAGCAAAAGAGCGCTTTTAGTATTCTCAGTGGGTATGGTAAACTACGAAGGCAGTAAAAACTGGGTGTGTAAATTATGTTAGGCTGTGCTACAGTACCACATGGCATAATGCCTTTAGTCGGTGACAAGTATCAGATTTCGACTGCGACACTGACCTTAAACTTCACACTATGATAAATGTTATCCTTGTGAGGATCCCAATGACCAGATACAAAACCGAGGACCAGTGCTTCAGCGTTCATATTCGACTCATTATGGTGTAGACGCCATTGCAGATTTTCTCCCGAGTTTCGACACACAGCTCCCTCATGGTTTTCAAAAGTTGCGGTTCCTTTCTTGTCTTCATATTCACACACCTGCTTTTTTTGAAAAGGAAAGCATTTAAGGATGGAATTTTGTACTACCGAAGGGTTTCACAAATGCAGTAATATTTTCCATGACAAACATACTAGCATGTCGAAGACATAAGACGTATATCTCAACCATGAACTCCGACCTGACACAGAATCTCTGCACATCACTTTGCGGTTGCATTCGACCACAGTCAATCACATCTTGTAAACCACTCTCGCTCAGCCCACTGTAGACTGGCTCAACGTCTGCCACCCAAGTTCTCCACCACATCCTATAGTTCATCCGTAATGCCGTTGTTATTCTCCCATTGACCCTTAGCGTTATACTCATAGTACTGCAACCTGATGTTGCAGTGTAGCGCTTAGTTGTTGCGGCACGAACTGATACTTGAGGTGCTGCATAGACAAGTTATGGGTGTAGAATGAGCTAATCCAACTTGAGGTCAGCGGGTCGTGTACCCATGTGAGGTGCTGACCCAAGTTTAAGGCCATAATCCATTCCACTTGATAACTTGTAAACACACGATTTGAAGGTCATGGAGATTCCAGCAAGAATAAGCGCATCCTTACCGCTTCTATTAAAATCCCAGTAGACTCCGTAATGCCGACACAGGTGATTGACTCGCTAATGTTAGTTTGGAAAAATTTCGTTTCATTTACTGTAACAATGGATTCAGGTCCACCCCTTAGTATCATCGCACACAGAGGAGAAGGGTGATTGGAACTTCCAATTAGGTAGAAAATGCGTTCCGTTGAAGAGTTGGCAACTACGAGGACTAAGTGGGTCAATTTGCCGTCAGAAAATTCACGCCATTCAAGCTAAATATGAAGTCATTAAATGCCGAAGCCAAACCGCCCAGGAAAGTGCACATATTAAGCAAAGGTAGAAGGGAATCACCAGACGCATGTTGCAGAATGGAAGTTTGGATCACTCTGATTATGCTTCGGTGCAAACTAGCCAATTGTGTCAGAATTCACATTTCAAGGTCGAAATTTGTAATGGCATGGCAGGCCTTAGCATATTCACATTTTTATTTACGTCAAAATGAGCCTGAAATATCGCTCATTTACTTTGTCACAGCATCAGTCCTTTTAGCCTTCTTTTTGGATATTAATTAGGATTTAGGCACCTAAGAGTTCTGTTGGGCTTCAGCAACTCGGTTTAAAATATCGGGAGTTCAGATAAAAGCTTATATCATACCGCATTCAAACGCCATGTTGCCTTGACTTGAAGCAAGTTAGCTTCCAGCTCATGCTAAACGCATGCGTCCCGGTGAATAGCGAAATTGCTCATAGTACATCTTATGGTATTTGCTAAAACATTTAGATGGATGTTTTTGTGACGTCTCGAGACTTCCCACCGCGTAGTAGAAGCAGTAAATGAAGCTTCAAAGGAGAACAAAGTAAGTATGTCTGAGCATGGCCCGAAGGCCAGCTTACGCTTATATGGGTCAGACAAATCGTAAAGCGATCGCCAAACGCCAGGTAGTCACATAAGCAAAGTATTACGGTTTCCCTCAACACTTTATTTTGATTCCAAACTCAGAGTCGTATTCTTCTGGCTCTCACTTGCCTTCTGGATTGCGTTATTAGGAGTAAAAATATCTAATGGAAGTGATACGGTAGAGGAGAAGGGAGTGAAGTTTATTCCTCTACAGGGGTCACATTGATGTTATCCGCAGGCACAGCTTCCGGATTAAGCTTCCGCCCCCGACTCTTAGAGCACATTTTAGGTAACTCATAGGTACTCCCTGAACCCGTCCTAGATCGCAACGATCGGATCTTGTGCATCACCACTTTGGTTGCACCAAGTTATAAACATTGATGCAGCATTCCTTGACTTTAAATTCGACAAGAGGGCATGAGGACCGGTTGAATGTTGGGAAAGGAGACGGGTGATGCCTTGACAGGCCCTGAAGGCCAGGCCACCCAGCAGAAGCGCGATGACCACTACACATTCAGGCAGTTGAGTAAACAAAGTATTATAAATTGCATCCAACTTCATCAGCGCACCTGTGTCCGTTCTACTGAGCAAGATAAAAGATAAAGGAAGAACACACCTTCGATGGGGCAAAACGTTACCTCTTGAACACGCAATGATTCGGAATAAGAAAAAAAATGGACTAGATATATTTACAAAAATATTAAGGGCACACAGAGACATAGAGGCGAAATTCAATTGTGGCCGGATCTAAAGCCCCAAAGATAGGCTAGCCATCGATCGAAATAGATGTGCCAAAGATCAGCATGCTGAGGTGCAATGACTGCAGAGAGCTGGTGAAGTTGTAAGAGGTGAATCCTATGATATTGCCATCGCGCTCGGTTCGGTCCGGCCTTAAGAAGAGCCTGCAGCGTCCCACTTTTCGTTTTTAAAATCCCTTGCTCGCTCCACGTCAAGCGCTCCATGTGAGATGTCAAGCGGAAGGCATGCGCTAGGCTGAGGTGCCGTAGATCATAGAACGAGCCTGTTCCGCTATCGTAGAGCGGCAACACTTGCGCCAACGTACTGATTCCATCCTCTAGCAGTTGTGAAGCCGTTGCAGTGACAGAGTCATTGCTCCCATTCACATTGGACACCTAAGTGGGCAGCGAGCGAAAAGAGACTGCAGATTACGTTGGTCAACCTGATCACAACTAACATTTGCGTTCAGGCTAAACACTAAAAAGTTGTTAGTCTCGTCCAAATCTACCCTTTACCAGCACCTCTCATACCCTCATCTGTTATCAACAGCGATAAGTCTTATGTTCTTATGAATCCTACACAATAACCGGAGGTTAATCAACTGTTATACATTCTATTCTCATCCACAAGAACCAATCTAAGGATTCCATTCCTGCTGCAGCTATAACACAACTCCTCTCATAAGAACGACCCCACCAATTTGCTCTTTTCGCAGACTTTGACACCTTCCAAACGCTCAGATACCGTGAAGATTGAATTCACAGAAGCAGGACCACGCCGATGTTGTGGTTTAAGTTCAACATCTATGCGACCTTATTGGGTAGCCGCATACGCCAAAATAGTCGTTCATCATAAAACTTGATTCCAAAATAGCCACAGTTTTCCCTTATAAAACATAATGCCTTTTGACTGTTTGAAGAGTGAATTTAAGTAGTGGCAACAATGATGCCACATCAAAAAAATGCTAAATTTGAGTGGAAGAGTAGTAGTCCTCATCCCTATCATCACGTCGCATGGCAAGGGACGCTTAAGAAAAGCAGAACCTATCATTACCCACCTTAGAAAGATCATAGAGACCTATGAGAGAGTAGATGAAGCCGTTGAGGACGAAAGCACTTGGTACGACGGGATACTCCTCATACCAGGGTAACGTGCTCTGACCGAGAAAGTTCGCCCGCACGCCACATACATCATCGGAGGCCTGTGACAGTTGGACAGAGCGGCTGAAGGCCTCAAGAGCTCGGCCAGCAGCTACCAAAAAGTTCTTCTCCCCGGTCACATGGCCTGCACGAACCAGCAAGGAGATTCCCTGACCTGTGAGTGAGGTGAGAAACCAAATAAGTAAAGAATGCAAGAAAGCACATGTCCATGCGTTGAATAAGCAACGAAATAACCTTGTCCCATAGCAGAACACCAGCCGGGATTGAGGTAGATGTCGCGCGTGAAGACGTGTTTAACGGGAACTCGCCATGAGCCGTCCTGCGCCTGGTTTTGCACAAGCCATTCACTTGAAGCCATGAAACGCTCTCGTGCAAACTCTGTGTTCACAAGCAGGTGACGCACACTCCCCACCTCCTCCATTCTCTCATTCCTGATTGGGACGAAAAGAAGGAGCTCCTGTATCACCCCCAACTCGTCTCTACCGCTATTTCGCTGAGGATACCGCAGTTCTACACCGTTGACAACCGTTCTGACAAAAATTACAATAAAATTTTGTTTGTGAAGAGAGGAGAGAGAACTTAGAGAGATCATTATACAAGAATCCGTCTCTACGACTCCAGACAAGCGTACTTACGGGTTATTTATTTCAGATCCAAGAAGAGAACTGCTAAAGATGGACTTAACTTTAGCCTCACGGTTGATGCTGTCAATGGCCTTCTTGAATACCATATCAAGATTTTGCAGAATTAGAACCTTTTGGCAGTCCTTTTGGAAGAACACCACTTTTAAATCAACTGACTGACTGTAGCCCAAAGCCCAGTAGTTATTATTCTGAAGAGGAACATAAAATAGAAGATCGGAACGCACACAACTTCCTCCGCTCAATTTTCGCTGTTCACAATCGACCTACCGTGACGATGTTACCTTCACCAAAAGTATCAGAACAGGCGAAGTGGATCTGAGCGCGCTTCCAAGAAGATCGAGGCAGAGAAGCATTGATGATGAGTCGTGTTTCACGTGGCCAATTGACTCCCTTTGTAATGAGAGCGGTCAGATTAGGAGACAAATCCGCACTAGTCAATTTGTAGCTCACGGATCCCGCCTTTTGCCCTACCAACGAAAAAGACGATCTTATACATGCAAGCCACGCCTTCAGACACTTACAAGAGACCAGGAAATAGTTGTAGAGTGGTCGTATTAACTAAATAAATGAATCAAATAAGTGCTTTCAGATATCATAGTGACTGGCAAAATTAGCAGAAAATTTAGGCAAAAAGGAGGATAATACACGGACAGTCACAGCTATTAACGGATAACCCACCAAAAGTACAAAGACTGTTGTTTTTATCACAATTCATACGGTTGGCAAATCGCAGCTTTAAATCAACCACCACTTGGTGGGAGAATGCATGAGAGGAAGGCTTCCAACTCTGCAGAGTGAGATATCGACTATAGTAGGCCAAACCGAATTGTGCTATTTGAATGGGGTAAGGGTAACCCTTCGAGTCCCACTGGCGTGATATTGGGATGTCTAAATTCCACAAAAGAGCAAATGCAAATATGGTGAAGAAATTGGGGAGAGATGAGGGGGAAAGAAGGCCTCACTTTGCTCCACATCGATTAAAAGGATGTGCTGTTTCCCTTCAGGATTGCTCAAAAAGCGCTGACCCATATAGTGTCCTAAGGGCTCATGTGCATAGAGTAGCAGAGGTAAAGTAGATTGAGCGCCTCCATTTGACATATGGAAAACGCCTTCCGTGGAATTTAGGTATCCTTCAACCTGAATGGTGCAGAAAAAAGTAACACCACACTTTCAGACATCGATCGCTCTCTCACTTGATTACGGAAAGTAATAAGGCCTCGAATAACCGCAAATAGCTCAAATGTTATTAAAATAACCTCACTCATTATTGCCATAAAGGATTTCGAAATAAAGACAATTAAGAACGCTGTAAAAATGAAGCACTCTGAACACTCTTTCACGAATTAAAACTATTTAATTTACTGAAAAAGTGGTCGTAACACGCAAAATTCACATTAAAATGCAAATTTCCTCCATCATCTCGGCTAAGGATAGGTCAAGCTAGCATCAAATCATTAAAATATCTCGAAAAGTCTTTTCCGTGCTTTGGTGCAAATTCTCTTGAACTGAGTCATTGTGCCATAATACATTGACCATATGGAAAAGCAAACTACGCCGCTTACTTCATACCAATACTTCATGTGTTTGAAATCGACCAAAAAAGTAGAATTCTTGAGTTGATAGCACCCAGGACTCATGTAACCGTTAATAGAACACATCAGAGGCTTAAACACATCCTCAGACTTGAAATCAAACACTTTACTCATATGCTCTTCACTTAGCCTGAAGAGGAGAAACAAAGTTAGCAATTAAAATCGCAAGATTCAACGCGGGTTTTTATTTGTAAATCCTCTGTGAGGCATATTGACAAGTCACAAATAAATAAGCCGATTTTGATCTGTACGTTCTCTATGAGGTCACCTTTCGATAATTGCAAAGCGAGAGACAAAACATTTGATTTGAAAAGTTCCTCTCAGGTCATCATACCAAGATTTTGCAAGTCAATAATAAGTCCCCCACGCGCTAGGCTCTATCAGATGACTTATGCCAAAATATAGAAGACAAACATGATCATCAATGGAAAAGAAGGAACCAAATGCACTACCCAAAACGGCATACCTAGGGCATCGCATAGTGCTTGCAAGCCTTGAATATTTGATGGAGAATATAATACAGGTCAAGAAGATGCAGGCAGCTACAACTCTCCGGTTAAGACGCATTGTTGTCGACAACATTGAATGAGGAAACAATATGATAGAAGGCCGAATTTCATCACACTCTCAATTGCACTCAAGATTCGTTCTGCATACAATTCAGGGACCGAAAAAAAGCGTGTATTCGTTGGTGAAAAAGAACAATAAAAGCCCACTTTGATAGGACAGCCCTAATAAATGGATAATTAGAGGAACGACCAGATTGCAGAAAAGACTCAAAATATGAAGGGCTGCAGGACCCGCACTCGAAAGTAGGCGCGTTAAACATATCAGAAAACCTTCGAGAATGTGAGTTTGGTGTTTCAAACAAATGTGGCAAATCATGATAATATAACACCTTGCCGATGTTTCCCAAAATTTTTCGCAAGATCAGACGATTAGACCACCGAAACAGAATAGTATGGTACCTTGTTTGCTACACAGCATAAAGATCTAGACTACTTCACTTACATCGGCCCCGCCACAGCTATCCAAGAGACAAAACATTATCTGAAAGTCCAAACAAAGACGAGTACAATATGGATACTTTGAGCCAGTTCAGTGTGTTTTTAGTCATTTTTTTCATACGTAAACAACATTTTGGAGCTGGATATGAAATAGTTTGTACTTCTCGACAATGCCAGTGTAGGGACTATGTGCACACCCTCATGCCATTGAATCTCGGACTTTAAGAGAGGGTTAGTTGTAGTAGTTTTATTACGCATTGCATAAAGATAGAACGAGGGCAGGGAGTGTAGATGAGCCGGATAGTAGATATTATCCGGAGGAGGAATCCTCACGATTCTCACGCAGCGGGTTCGCGTTTAACTTCAATTTCCACCTCTCCCCTATAAAGCCAGAACTTATTTTGTCCATTTTTTGTCCCAAAAGAAATTACTCTGCCAAAATGATGACATTGTATTTTATTAAACTAACCTGCAGTTACTGCCTGTCTACCCTATGGTCCCTGGTTCTCAGACTTTAAGAGGAAGTTGGCTGTAGACGGTTTATTAGGCATCTCTGTAAGAAGGATGGGGGGAATAAAATGCAGATGCGGTGAGCAGGAGATGTCAATCGCAGGGCGGCTCCTCGTCGACCTCGCGCACGTGATCCACGTTCCCAATTGCCTCCCGCCTCTCGCCCACAGAAGTCCACTTAAACAAACTATGTCTCCTTAATATGATTACTATCCTACCCTTGGAAAGGCGGAGATTGCGTTACCTAAGACTTCCTATAAGGTAGACAAGGCATTACAAAAGTCTGACTACTTGTATTTTAGGAAGAAGGGAAATAAGGCCTTCATTTTCGGCCTGAAGGCAAGCTCATACAGGGAAAAACAAGATGACCACCAAAGTAACCTCTAGTCATGTAAACGAGGCATTACAAAGTAAGGCTTCAATAGTTTTACATTAGCAATGGAACCCACCTCTTTGAGTAATTTCCCATCTATTTGACTTTGCTCCTCCTGCAGATCCCGTAACAGTCGGTCGACAAAGGAAGTCGCAGTTTATAGACCTTCCACTAGGAATCACCACGGATTTTTAGCCTCAGAATATCAATTGTTTCCGTTTTGTTTGTAATAATGAATGCATCAAAATTACCAAAAGTTGGGATATTTTTAAGCAAGGCGGCTGACTTGATGAACTGCTTTCCTGCCACGCATTTATGCATATCAGCATGAAGAAAATTTTCTATTCGAAACTGCAAAGATACCCTTGGCTTATTTATGCACAGGGAGAGACATGACGCCACCACCACCAGGGCCTGCAAGGAGGAAGGACCCCAGTTCCGATGCGTTTCGAGTAAGGCACGAGCCATCATCTAAAATTTACCTTTCCAAAACCCTGGCTATATTTTTACCTCCTTCCACACTTTATAAAAAATTGTGCAAAATCTCAGTAGTCTTCAAATACGATTCCTCAAGGAAGCCGATGGTCCTTGTTCGCAGTCAGCCTCTACGCTACCTCAATTCCACCTTTTGCACAAGCAAAACTTTACCCTCGCTAATACATCTTAGGCTTGCGAATTTCACTATCCAAATTTAACACATCTTAATCTTTATGGCTTTATCGAAAATGACCTTCGTATTGCATCCATCCTCTAGCGTCATGAGTAGGTGAGTGACCGTTCATCCCTGCAAATAGCATCGCACCTTTTACGTTTTAGTTCCGTGGGATCGAGGTCTGGTTTAGCGTTGGTTGGAAATGATCCTTCATGCTGGGCGTCGACTTTAGAACCAACATTCTGCCATCATTTGGAGACTTGCAATTTTCTCGAATTGGCTATCTAAGCCGCATGCCATACTGCACCTTGGGCTAACACATTTTAGTCTTTTGTCTTCCCATCCTCTCATGTAGTTCCCAAAACACTAAACAGAATTTATTTCACAACATTTTGTTATTGTTATGGAAGTGCATTGTCCTCCGTCTAACCGAGTACAGTAATGCCTCTAATGAAGCAGCTCTTTTACTACGCCCTTAATGAAGGATCATTAAAGAAGTGTTGCAGAGCACCAGACTGTCAGAGCTGGCAAGATGTTATGGAAGTTACTTTAATTAGTACACTAAAATCGCTCCTGGTACCAGGTATGTCGAATCGTCGTCCATTGCTCCTTGACAAGCCGGTGTTTGCCTCAAAATCCACTTCATTTGTCTAAACAGTACAACAGGATTTTTGAGAAGAGCAAAAAAACACTCCATAAGGTCACCTTATTGCGAAGTGGGAAAGTTCATTCACGTATTAGTTCTTGAAGTTTCCTACCCATCAAGCTTACTCAGAAAACACTGTTTACAAGCAGGTGGGTTCACTTCGAAAAATACCGAGGTCGTTTCTGAGGGCCTGTTTTACCTACCACAAGACCGATTTGAAGGGACGAGGCCAAAATGAAAGGTCACCTCAATGTCACCTGCTTGGACTGCGCTAACGTTACAGAGGTGGGAAGAAGTGAGCTGCACAGATCTTACCACCAAAGAAATTGCTCAAATTCTTTACCTTTTTCCATTATAATGGCTAACTCAGAGCAATTGATGGACGCTGCTTAGATTACCATCGAAACAGCACCATGTCATGAGGTTGGTGCAACTACCGCCTCTCCGTCTCGGTCCACTTTTTCGCCTCCTTACACGGCAAGCCCCTTTTAACCACTACGAATTGTTAACAAGTCTCTCAAACCTCTCCTTTTCCTCCTTATGCTATTATAAAGTGACAGTCATAGACATAATTGCTGACTATGCTTATTCCTATGGTCTGCACTTGATTTAAACATTTATTTAGTCCTTCTTGTCTTGGAGCTGGAGGCTAAATGTCATTGAATCATAAAGGACAGCTATCAAGTTGTGACGTCGTGTGCGTCAGATGACGTGGGCTCTGCTACTCACCTCCCCATTGAAAAGCCGTTTAAATGAGATTTTGTTGCGCGCAATGAAAAGAGAGTTACTCAATAAGCGGTAATTGTAATTCATAAAATCCTTTTTGATTCATTTACAACGTAACTTAGGCGCGTCTTAGGTGTGGTAATTTGACGCAATAATACTCTTGGCCTACTACACGAATTCACAGGTCCAGTAGATTAGCCAAGAGGGGTCAGTGATGTTCAAGTCAAGTCCCGCCTTATTCGCAAAGAAAGTTAATGGTTGATAAGCGGACAACTGGATGTGGTGTCCTGAGACCTGCCAATAAGTAGAATAAGGCATCACATTTGGATAAACCCTCGGCAAAGCCCGAAGGCCGGTCCACCTCTACAAGGGCAAATCGAATAGCAAAGTAACCATTGAAAATCCGGTGGTATCATGAACAAGGTATTACAATGGGTGTCGCCATTAACTGCCGATTACGGTTCTATAAACTTTTTATTAAAACAGTTAACGTATCACCCATGTCTCGGCGACGTGGTGTAGAACCAGCTTGCTTAACCTCAGGCCCCTGAATCTTAGACTTCAGAAAAGGGTTAGTTGCAGAAGCGTTTGTAATGTTTTGTTTATGCGACAACATGACTTTCGGTGGTCATTTTAGGATTTGTCTAGCCCTTGTACTCGAGGGCTGGCCTCCGGAATGCATGGATCCAGCCTCAATCACTGCCCTCTTCCACCCTATGGGAAGTCTCGGGACGCTACAAGCATGGCCAGAAGACCAGCCCACGTGTGCAAGGGCCAGACGAAACTTAAAGTAACCTTAAGGTGTCCGGTGATCATATTAACAATTTATTACAGCCGCATTGTCTTTCTCCCAAATTAGAGTGCCTTCTGAGACTTGTAGCGCAATTAAGCTGATAACAAAGAGGAATAAAATAACTTGCTTGTATTGCGTGCAACCAGCTGGATGAGATGGCCTTTGACCTTAGCCAAAGTCTTGCATCTTCTGCTCTGTCTATTTGCAGCAATCAAATTAGTATTGTTCCTTCTGCCAACAAACAAAAAAGCCTTAATACAAAGCATATTTATCCAATAGAGCTAATTTAAAATATTTTGATTATCTGCATCAGTCGAACTTGCGAGGGGTATTACAATAGCATAGATTCTATAAGGCAAACGTGCTAGTATGCTTAAGAAATGAGATGGACCCGATCTCCTAGGCTATTGGAAACTGCCCACCGAAATACTTTGTTAATTTGACTACCTCTTTGTGGTGGTCTCATTAGCTACAATCTTGCTTCTACGAAATTGTATAGTCTTTGGGCGAGGCTATAGTCTCACTTTTACCATTTCTGTTAGAATACAAGTGACCTCCATGGTAAATTCCTTCTGCTATCGAAGGGAAAGTGCTAGGGTGTTATATCCACATCTCTAACTTTGTGCAAATGTTTGGAAGGCCCTTCTACCTGATTCGACATCGTCGAACATCACTTTACGGTTGCATACGACCGCAGCCAATCGCATCTTGTAAACCACTCTCGCTCAGCCCACTGTAGACTGGCTCAACGTCCGCCACCCAAGTTCTCCACC